CCAGGGGCTACTTGACCGACGTATTATACCTAGTTGCATCATGTTATCAAATTCAACCTTTTCAACATTCGGTTTGTCAAGTGGTAATCGGCGTGGACGTGCCGAAGTTGGTTGGCATTTTGTGATGATCCGGTGTACTACAGAATGTTGGACCGTGTTTTCACTGTAGTCCGGTTTCGTTATTTTGGGAAATTTAGATAAAATAGTGGCGAATATGTCGTTTCCTGGGGTGTCAATTTTAATACTATGCATGTGGTAGTCCAACTGAATTCCCAGAACTTGAAGCTTCGTGCAGGAACCGATAGGTTTTCCTTTTTTTACATCAACTAATAAGTTGTAAAAGCTTAGAAAATCTGCACCTAATATAGGGTGGCGGACATCAGCAATAATGAACACCCAGGTTAAATGACGTCTAATTCCCAAGTCTAATGTCAGAGATTGTTCGCCAAATGTCTTTATTTCGGTTTTATTAGCTGCTCTTAGAGTATATTTTCCACTCTTAGCAATGGGTTTGTTGACTAAGGTAAGTGGGATGACACTGACTTCAGCTCCAGTATCTACTAAGAATTTGTACCCTGAAGTTTTATCAAGAACATCGAAAAGACGAGTAGGCGCATGACCAGAAACATTTGTCGCTACCAAGGCTTGGTTGATACGTTTTGGTGAGGAAAATGACTTGAAAAACTTACAAGACGTAACACATTTCCTAGCTATGTCACCATATCTTCTATGGTACCAACATACTTGGTCGTCATTTTTATTTCCTTTTGAGGTGTCTCGATTCTTACTCCTCCGAGAGCTGGAGCGAAGCCTTCGAGATGTGAAATTGGAAATTAATAAATGTAATGCATCTAGTTTATTTTCAAGACTGGCAACAGTTCGTTCGTGATGTGTTTGTAGTTCGCCTAACTCAGCAGTTAACGATGCTATGGTAGGAGTTTGCTTGTCGTTCGAAGTTTCTGATATTGTCTGTACATATGGTGTAGTACAAGGTGTAACTTCTAAAATTTAACCATCCATGCCAGCAAAACTCTCTAAATTTAAGGGTTGGCTAGAAGCACAAAGGATTTGCCTAACTACTATTGGCAAACGTTGTAGCCAAATTTCCTTGAGATAAGCATCGTCAACTTTATAAGCTTCAGCCAATTGCCTCATGTGGCGTAATAATTGGGAAGGTGACTTGTCGCCTAACTCAAACTCGTGCAGTAATTGTTGTAACCTCTTTTCATCTGATAGTGAGGTACGTTGGATAATGGCCTGCTTCAATTGATCATATGCATTAGATGCAGGAGTGTTATCTATCAAATTTGATACCTCAGGTGCTACTTCAGCAGACAGTAATCCAAGCACGAAAGAGTAATTTGATGTCTGTGAGCGTATGTTACGACGTTGAAACTGTACTTCCATTTGTGCAAACCAAATGCGAGGGTTTAATCGACTGAATGGGGGCACATTTACCAAGTTTAGAGCGTGTAGCTCTGTTGAAAAGTTATCCTGGCTCTTGCCTTCAGTTTCGGAATGGTACATTACAAATATACACAAATTAATTACTACCAAGGGTAAAACAACGCCGTAATGTATGTGAGTGAACTCAAACCTACTTTCGAGAAAAAAAATTTACGGGCTCACCAGATTCGTGGTTATCAGCAAAAAGAGCTTATACAAGATATATCGATACACTAGGTTGATAATAATTTACCAAGAGAGTTAACAGTAAGAGCCCTAGGTGTCTGTCTGCGAGCAAAACCAAGGGTATCAAAATACAGTTAGGAATACAAGTGGTATATTAAAATCTGGATATAGTACTTGCCGAAAGCTCCACTCATGAGATTTCCGTATGCATACTTATAAAACAATGGACTGTAAACACTAATTGCTTATTGGTCAATAAACTAGATGGGTAGCTGATTTATTGTACCCATTAACTAGACTTTTGAACGAAAATGTTGCTAAACGACCACCCGTCACAAATCAGTGCTGTAATTCGAAAATTTCACCGACAGTTGAGGGCCTTCTTTTTAAATAGGCGGTCGCACCCCAAATAAACGTACTCGTAATTTTCTGTACAGCAAAATGTGATTTGGGATCCACCAAACTCATATTAGCACAACATATGGACGTGCAGTACAATCAGTAGAAACCTCATTTTTACTCAATACATATTTAGCCCTCTGCCTGAGCTGGCTTAAAGGCACTGTGTTCAGTCAGCCATTCATAAGCCCAAACCAAACCACCAGAAACTTTTATTCAACCCTCTTTACAACGTAATTTTGAACAAGACAAAAAAAATTGGTGCTCTTTTGTACAGTCATTAAGCTCTAACAACAATTGAAATGTCATTTTAATCGATTTGTATCTTTCCTTCCATTGCGATGCCATTTGAGAAAAACGTATCAAACGTTTTATGTCTTTATTTATTTTATGTCAAAATGTCTTTGAACCTCATGCTCACTTATTGTTCCTTCAAGCCTCAACCGTCTTCCAATCCTTTTTTCTTATGATTCTCATGCCTAAAAAACCTTCATAACTTCGTCTTTTGATATGCTCTAATCAAGAAAATGCCTAGAAAGAAAGGCGTAAGTATTCTTCCGCTCGGCCGCTAAATGATAGCCTGAAAAATTAATGCGACTCACAAATTACAGCCTGTCTGCCATTGTCACACACTCGGGACCCTCTATTGTCATGATGGTATGGACTAATATGCATGATCAAATTCACCGTTAGAAACTAAGTGTCTTGGTGTAAACGATGTAACATTAATTTTCCATGATGACGTTTATCTAATTAAAAATTTAAACAGAGTATTACACACCTATCTACTTATCAAGCTTACACAAACCCACAGAATTACTGTCATAAATGCTACTTTGAAGACTGAATGTTTGTTAGTCCTGGATATTTATTATATATATATATATTATAAAATTACTCAAGTTAGTAGTATTGTAGTGAACAAGAACACCAGTGGGGAGAATCGAATTTATTTGACACAAAATTACAGGACTTGTTAGTAGAATCTAACAATCAAATAGTAAATATGTAATTTGCAAAATGTCCATCAATTGTCTCGAAATGACTCAGACTTCATTGTTCTTGCATTTTCATACAAATTGCATTCTGTTCCCATTCTTTACTGTTCGATCCCCTTTTCTGTCTGCTGCCAGACATTCTGTTTCTGACTAACATTATATACTACTTATGTCGATATAAGTAGCATACACCACAGTATGACAGCCCTCTACATAGTCCGCATATGGAGTATGTTTTTTGCTACTTATTGGAGGAGGAGTAGAGTGACCAAAGATAGACTTGTAACGCATTTGATCTTGATTCACATGTTAGGAGAAATTACAAACTTCATAAACTGAAGATAATCAAAGTTAATGAGATGTACTCTGGACGATGGAAGTATATGTCTCAAGCGTTCATATGCCATCAAATGCTAGCAGTTTTATCCATGTCAAAAACACGAAGTCAGCAAACGTTTAGAGAAGTAATAAGAGTTTTAAAAAGGTCTAGTGCTAACAAGTGGAAGATAACATGCGAAAGAACGGTTTTAAATTCCACACTCATAAATGTCAAATTATATTCATTGACACTATTGGCAAGTGGTCTACTTTATCTTCATTACTCACCTCTTCAGTGCCTAGTGAAGTTTTATTCACAAGCTCTGACAGGGGAGGACTTGACGCAAAAATATTGAGGAGGCAGTCGCAGCGTATATCATCGTTCTTTGTCCTTAAATATTGCGTGATAAATTGACCTCTCACTTGATAGTGAGGACTTATAAACTTACATCCACTAACGTTTCGAAACTTCAAATATGTTTAGACATTCTCACATCTGGTGTGATATAAGTCCACTTATAACTAGGTAAAGACATTGGTGACAGTGACAAAATTAATAAATTCGTCATGTGAGTATTAGTTTTATCAGCTTAAATGATTAACGTCAGGGATTAGAGGGGAAAGAGGAAACCTAATAACAGCATTCAATATGTAAAGTATTTGACTCATCTTAACAATAGAGTTTTGGCCAAAGACCATCACTTCAACACATGAGATAATCCTCAAATCACTATTATTCAAGGAGCGAATACTCCTATTCTATCTCTTTTTCTCACATTATGAGTTGATTCCACGTGAAAAGTTTGAACGACCGTTTCGATCACAGATCCTTCTAGAGGAAGTTGGACAGTCACCTGTGCATTCATAGAATACATCGCATGTGTTCATCTATACAGCTGTTTTTTTAAGAGAAAAAAATGTGACAGAGACTTAGGTCACTGGGCCCTGGGAGGAAGGTTTTATATTGGAAAGACAAATATTTGTGCTTTGGTTACGAATAAGTCTAGAAGGAAGTTTGAGGAAGAGCTTGTCAAGGATGGCGTAGGATATATATAGCGCGTCCATTGGCATATAACATAGGGAACCAAGAAGAGACAGCGTCATCACTGTATTGTATAGAGACGATCGGACTACAACGTCAGTGGAAGACGACAACGATAAAGTTCATGTCTTTAAAAACTACTTTACAAATGTAAATAAATAAAATATTTACAAATGCGTAGACAGTACGGAAAATCTAGAAACATGACGAACTTTACCCCAAATTATCAACTCAACTGTCAAGTTCTACTGCATAACATCAGAGCATTTCTTTTGATTTATCTGGAAAGGATAAATAGAAGCTGGAAAGGATTGCCCAGGACAGGCTTGGATGGGGAATTCTGGTGAGCGGCCTATGCTATGCTTCTTCACGAGGAGTAACAGGCGTAAGTAAGTAAGTAAGTAAGTATGTAAGTAAGTAAGTAAGTAAGTAAGTGTCCTTTCCAAACTGAAACTGAATGCGTAGGTGAAGCTAGATATGACCAGTTGTATTAGCTTAACTTTATACTACGACAAACTTTGAGGTGTTCTTTGGAATCATGATGTTAGTGAAAATAATTCAACTGACTGGTACCAGTCCGTCAGAAAGATTATATATTGAAACATTAGTTCCAAACCTTGACATGACCTTTGGGGCGCAATGAAGGAAACTGAGGCGGGGTTCTGCTTTCGAGCTCCTCTCCCTGTTTGTGACTTGGATGATGACGTACCGCTTTATCCTGACACGAAACGATTAAAGTTATGGTAAGGATAACATTTGTGGCTCTAGAAGTACCTTTTTCCAGCTCATCTCGTGTCTCAAGTGTTTACGAGCGAATCTTCAATCGGAATTGTCGGGATCTTAGTGGGAAAGACAAAAGCAACAACATCACAACTTACAACGGTTCTTCCTTTAGAAATCTAGTAAGAAGTTCAAACTGACTGTATTTTTGGTTTGTCATCTCTGATTTTGCGAGAATTCGCATCACATACAATCTCGGTAGAAATTTATGTCTTTATATCAGCCTGAATTTCTAGAACATTACGTATCTTTGGATTTTATCTGTAATTTCGAAAGATTTAAGTCGCTTGCGGAAATCACTGCAGTGGTGTGATTTTGTTTTCTGATCCTGGCTTTGATGATATTCGTTGTCATTCAGGATGAATTCTTACTTAGTATCCTTTTCACAAACAAATATAAGGTTTTGGAGTAGTACAGTAATACCCGTCAGGATGTATCTGTGTCTTATCATCCAGTAAATTTTGAACACTGGTTTACAGTTTACCCCCTGTTTTGTTTGAGCATCATCCTAAACAGCCAATGCGTCAGATTTCTTTCTAGCAAAGGATCTGCAGACTACTTCACAGTTATTGATTCGATTACTAACTTAACTCTTTAACCGAATTGTATTTATTATTAATTAATTGCAAGTATAATGTGGCTAATTTTGGAGTAACATTTGTAACACCGTGATTATCCATTGGACGAAATATACAGGTAGTTTTTTTGATGAATTTGTTATTTTGTAGATATGGCTTATCAAAACAAAAAGATCATATGTGTCCCATAGAGTTAACCTTTCAGCCTAGCTAAACTCCTACGTAATAAGTCAACCTCCAGCTCATAAGTAATGGATTTTACTTTCGGTAATTTAACTATATCCATTCCAAATCGCTTTTCGGAACTTACAGTTTCCTATTGTTTGTCTCTTATTTTACGACTTATTTATCGAGCGAGACTATAATTTATGGACGACCTTTGAACGAATCTTAAGTGACCTTGAGAAATATTAGTCAATCAGCAAACAGTCACTATAGAATAAAATCTATTATACAAAACCAAAGAAATAAAGTAGATACACTTATTATACGTGGTTCTAAAACTTGTCAACGTAAGAAAGAGGTTCGGAGGTTCTAAAATCGTAGTGCATGCAGTAGAAGAAATCATCCATATGGCTATAAAATGACCGGTTTCTGGAACCATGATAAGGTCGCAAAAATTCTTTCAGCCTCGACCACATAGCTCCAATATCGTTTGTGTGCACTCCAGTTGTTGAGTACACAAAATACCACTTGTGGATAACGACACGATACACATAACCAAGTCTATGTAGGAGTCTGTACGCTCTCCAAACATCTGCATATATTGTAGTACCTAGCTGCAGCCAGTGTTATTTGTACTTTTACTATCCAGTTCGCAATAATTGTCATAATTTGCTTTAGTTAGGATTTATATATAGGGTTTTCATCACGAACTTACGTCAGCTATAATGCCGAAATTCTATTTAGCCAAATGAATGAAAGACGTTTGCACCAAAATCCGTGATCTGTTATCTTATAACTGATTGATTCGTTCACAAGTTATAGTCTCGATATTTTATTTGTTATGACCGCTCAGTTATCACGTTTTGCATAAAATCCTCTGTAAACTGATCATACTTTAGCACTAAGTACTAAAGTTGGTTCTGTGACCTTGGAACCCCTCGAACACTTCTGATTGGCCCGTCCATAAATTAGAGTCTCGCAGTTTATCGTCTTAACTTTGATGTTCTCATCCTTCCTTTGTTTCTTGTGCATCCGAGAAGTGCGGTAACTTGGATCACATCTTATTTCCGTTAGATGTGATTTGTGCGATGTACTTGTCGATGTATAAAAGTTAGCCTTCGAGGTTGGTTTTTCCCGAACGTTATCACTTATGAATCTCAAAAAAGACAATAGGTTTCCCACCACTTCACATCAATATTTAGTTCATGTCTCCGTTTAATCTATATCAGGATGATATTTATGCAAGGCATCGTAATATTTTTTTAATATGGTGCAGCCCAGTAGTCAAGAAAATGGTATGGCAAACTTTTAGTCATCTAGAGAAAACAGAGATGACTTGCGTAGTGGAGCGGACAGATGGAATCCAAAAATATAACTTGACCAAGTTTCGCATATGTAAACCACAGGATGTATGTATGTTAAGTATAATATTCATTTTTGTTTGCATCTGAAACATAAAATACGTTGATGGGTAATCCACTATGACTGTCAGTTCACGCGAATTGTGATTATTTTCATTTGTCTTCAGATGCTGTTTCAGAGTGAATCTAAACTATGCCAAGTAATTCTGAAATCCAGTTTTGAGTTTAAAAAAAGGAAAATAATTAATATTTTAGAACTTTTTTGATTGTAAAGATTTACAAGCTGATAGTTTAGTTTCCATTTTGATTTTATGCGTTTACTTTTTTTAAAGACACTTTCGATCAAGTGTTCACTTGTACATAATACCTAAAGGTATATGGTCTTATTTGTGGTGCCAAGTATCCAAAAGTTAGTCAACGTTCAGGTAACTCATCATCATCATCATCATCATCATCATCATCACTGCACTTACTAACTCTTCCAAATCTACTACATCACTACACCTTAATCTGGTATCTACCATAACAGTAGTCTTATTTTCAGTTGCATTATTTTCCTGCTTTGATCGTTTGCTGTCATCATCTAGTGATTAGAAAGATGTTAAATATTGGAAAGTAATCCGCTCAAACTCAAAATATTTCTTCACGTATTTATCATGCCATATTCTCAGCATCCCCTAACGGTAAATTCTGTTTCAGCTACCATCCGTGAGTTTGAAGGCATTTAATCGACCTGGTGATGTTTGTCATTATTTCCTACAAAGTTTTGTATCCGATAATCGTATTTACTCGCAAAAAATGAAGCAGTCATCCGTTTTCAGCTCTACTCCGTTTAGTGGTCACACAAAGTCATCTCTAGAGAAAAATCACATTTCATCTGAAAGGCAGATATATCAACGGTTGTTAGATAAGGCGTCATCATTTTCCCGAACTCCTACTGGCAAACCTACGAATAATGCATGTGGTCCCATCACTATAAATCTTGACGAAATTAAAGATAATCACTATTCTTTATTGCGGCAGTAAGTCATACTTTTATGTCACTACTGGTTTGTTTTGATGTTTATCATCTTAATGACTGGCAAATTCATTCCATTTGTTATTGAAACTGTAATCTGTAGAATGTCACAATGTTATCCAAGTTTTCTAAATACCTTTTTCATACCATTATCTCATCCACTAATCTTCATATTTCACATGGTGTTAAACTTCCGTAACTTCGCTGATATCCGTCTTGAACCTGGTGATGTTGAACAGTGAGGCGGATATAGTGAAAATTAACAAGTCTTCATAAACATGCTTCTGGATGACTATTACCTTTGTAAGTAAATAAAATTGTATGCAACTATATCCCTTGATAAATTTAAACAGAACAGGAACAGTCAGGTTTGAAGAATATAATGAAATTATTCTCATCAACTGTATATAGCTTTAAATTCCAGCTCTTAAAATAATTGTAATTAAATGTTTAACATACTTAAGTTTGCGAAGTTTAGACAAATGTGCAAGACGTAAACGAAATCATTATAAGGGAAGACACGAAATGTATGAACAAAAGTAGTTAAGTCTGACGCGTATTTGTATAATGTAGAGTAGAATTTTTTATATTTATTACTAATCAACCAAAATGAAATTCATAGCTGGTTTCATAATCATTTGAAATGTTAAGAAGCAAAGCCAAATAAATGTGAACATCAATAAGATTATGTAAGGGATAAATATTAAAAGACCAAATAAGGGGTGGGGGTGAAAGTTGATAAATTTTGTTTGATTAGTACTCAGCGACTATGGCAGAGAAAGACTAAATAGATAATCAACGTGCCCAACGACCGACTGCCTCGACGTGCTATGTTCAGTGGTATAGGAGTAGGTTGGAAGAAAGCTAGGGGCGGCTAAACCAAAACATGGCACAAGTCCATGAAGTCACTGACAAGTGAACTGAGTCATGTTGGTAGGTGTAGACTACCTGGTTGGGGACCGCGAGATGACAGCAACCGATGGTTAGAGACCCTGAATGGCATGGCTCAAAATCGTTTGCAATGGCGCAGGTGCATCCACTCTCTGTGTTCTCCCAAATTCTAATCTTCTGAATTCTTCATGTCCCTTTTTTCCTCTTTCCAAATTTATTTCACTGGATTATACTCTTTAAATAACATCTCCAAACCCTAATCTTCCCGATTACTGCTTATACTCTTGCTACCTCTACCACTACGAGATTTGAATCGACAAGTGCATCTCTGTGCTAATGTGGTGTGGCAACTCGAACTGATGTACGTACGTACGAAGTTCTACGTTGTTACTGACTGACTGAGTGAGATAATCAACGACAATTTTCTATAAAGAGACTCATATCGATAGTTTGTGTTAATCAAAAGCAATATGAAAATACCATAAACTTATTACATAATAATTTTACAGTAAAAATAAGAATAGTTCACCATATAATAGGTCCAGAGGTCTCAAATTCTTCAATATTACACGTTTTATCAGGAATCTTTTATCTTAGAAACTACTTTGGATACTGATAACTCAGTAGTTATCACAACCTTATGTTCTTTCTTATAACCAGGAATTAAGACTAGTCAAATACAGCGGGTGAAATTCGCCTATTTTCTTAATTAATCTTGGTAATCGTATTAGTTAACATCTCTTTAGACCCATGGAATTAATTCATCGGGTCCTATTGTTCCTTTTCTCGTCAAGTTAGCCATAGTTTTCTTGACTCAAAGTTTGAACTACAGTGCCAGTCATTCATTTTGGCTTCTAGTGGATAATGAACAACTGGATGCCAGTTGCAGTATGTTCTACGTGTCTGGAAAGTCTGATAGTTGAGTTTTTTGTTCTCTTTCATATCCTTCAAGTTAATTAACTAGTTTTCTCATTTGTTAACCTGTTTCCTAAATCCTGTTTATTTTGTTTTTAGATGTAATCTTTCTCCAATTCTTCCGAGGAACCGAATCCAGCGAATTGACGACGCTAGTAAGCTTACTGTTTTTAAAGTTCGTTGGTGTTCTGACGAAAAAAGGTTGATTTCATCAGGCATTAGTAACAATAAAAGTTAAGGTGCGAATTTATGACTTCTTTCATGCTTCTTCTGAAAGGTATGCCCTAGTAAATAATTTCTGGTTATTGCTTAATTGTAACCGAATACGACATTCAAATAAGGGTATTCAAGAAGATCTGATTAATTTATTTTGATCTAGCTAAGTTTACACAGATTTGCATAAGTATATAATGGATCAGGTTGTATTAATGATTCAGTCGGTCGAATATTCGTCACAACTTTAAATACTGCTTAGTTTTATTTCTCATTAAAGTACAGTTGGTGTCTAAAGAGATCTCTGAGGAACTGTCAGATGTAATAAATGATTCGCTAAAAGGGACGAGATGAATAATACCTAAGTACTAAAACACTACGTCTAACTGAAACCAGATACACAGGTTGCGATATCAGTAAATGCTTATACATCGACTACTGCGATGCAGGTTTTTTCGCCCTAAAGTTGATTGTATTTCAATTTAGATGGTTTCTTATAATCTTATCCTATTCTCTTGCTAGGCACAAATAATCAAACCGTCTCTATCCCATCTTCAGATACCAGTGATTCGAAAACTCGTGCGTGGCTTGAAAGTATTGCAGAATCTCCCTACTTATCGGATAACTGGCTTAACAACTTGACCTCAAGCTATCAGGCTAAAAAGAATGAACGTGAACGTGACTATGAGTTGGCGAGAGCAAACATACGATTTTGGGAGAAGCAGGTAATTTAGGTGCTGTTGCATTTTTCCTTAACTGAACGAAACAACCTTGGTTAATCTTAATAGGGCTTTCTGATCACATTTTAATTCTATATTCGTGATTCTTCAAGAATATACACCTTCATCTTGAGGTTCAATTTTGAATTGAACATGAAGTACAACTTAGGGTTGATATAATTAATAATATAAGTGATTTATTGTTTTATTGTAACTATTTATTTCAGATTTCCACCAAGTAAATTTACATAACTAAGATCGTGACTCATTAACCTTCGGCAATTTTTTTAAAGTACTATAATTCTATACTAATTATGCTTTATGAATACTTCAAGAATTTTGTTGGAAAACTAAATATATATGGAAGATATCGAGTTATTTATTAACAAACATTATATTTTATTCATATTAGTAACACGGATTATTCTAGGTTCATTCACTCTTCGTTTTTCTTTAAAACCTTAGTGACCAAGTCCTTTTCACCTTTCTTTTTTTTCTTTATTGAATCTTTTCGACTACTGATGCTGTTACTACTCCTAACACTCTGCGGTTTGTCTTGAACTAATTTCATCTCATTGTAGTAGTATAGTATAGGTACTTGTGTAGTGAACAAGAACACAAGTGGGGACAATCGAACGTGTTTAACACAAAGTTACAAGACTTGTTAACAAAATTTAACAATCTTAAGGGAAATGCTTAATTTGCAAAATATCCATCAATTGTCTCAAAATGACTCAGACACCATTGTTCTTGCATTTTCACACAAATTGCATTCTGTTTCCATTCTTTACTGTTCGATCCTCTTGTCTTTCTGCTGCCAGACCTGTTCACGATTAACATTATATACTACTTATGTCGATATAAGTAGCACACACCACACTTGAATGGATCCACATATTTGTCAGGTTCTACGTTGTGTATAACCGACTGATAGATTGATAGTAAAGCCTAGGGATTGTTGGACATAATGAATTCATCATCTGGGCTTTATTTGATTAATTCCATAAGATATCAATTCTTATGCCTATTCTCCTCCTCCTCCTTTCTTTACTCAATAAATAGATCGAAACGAGCAGAAGCTCTTCTATTATCCAAATACAAAATTCACCTCTGTAGTAAGGTTATTTAGTTCTGTATGCCCATAAAATAAAGCATTTTTAGAAGGAATATAATAAGCGTTTATGACCTGCTTCAATCATTGTACTCCTAAGGATAATTATCTTCCATCGTTGTTTAACATGTGTTCTAGTTGTTCAGAATTAGCTATATGACCTTGAACGAATCTACTGATTAGCTCAACTTGAAAGCAGTATTATTGTCCGGAGTTCTATTTATCTCGATTTGATAATCAATGGATCGCGTTCGGATTCTTACGTCATCCAACAACATAGTGTGTTAAATGATTTATTAATTTTATGATGTATTGCTGTTTTAAAATTAAGCGAATCAACCAAACGTTAGACTATTCAAGATAATTTTTTATTTTTATAAATAATTAATTTTTATAATTGTAACACTTCATTTCATTGCTTCATTATTTCAGCGTGCTTCAGCTGAAAAAGAGCGTATTGACAATCTTGAACAGAGACTTGCTTGTTTACTAAGAACACCTCCTATTCTGGAAGATCCATATTTAGTACCTCAACCTATTCCCATTGAACTGCCATATAAACCTGTCAAAGTTAAAGAACCCAAAGTACCAGCTCTTCCTGGTATGATTTTTTCTGTCTATTTTGTATTAGTTTATAGTGTTCATTTAATTATAATCTTAACGGTGTGCAAATTATGAAAATTCACTATAAGTTATCTAGTTAGTTCACGGTATGAATACTACTATAGCAATAAGGTTGGAATGAATTTGTCAATTATCGTCCATCCTTCACATGTATATCATTTATATATGTGTGTGTATGGAGGGACTTTGTTTGTAGTTTTAATAAAATTACACTAACGACGATTCACCTGCAAAGCCTCATTCATTTAGGTAGGTTTAGTCTTATTTAGTCAGTATTGCATTCTGTGTCCGTTCGGCTGGCATTACATTTGCCAGTGGCAACCAGAAAGTAAAACTGGCTCCTATAAACTGTCATTACTTAAGCAACCTACTTTAACAAGTATAATTTAATATATGTTAACAGGAGGTAAACATGTTTCAACATTTTCTAAACATAGCTGTATGTGGTAGAGATTGTTGATTTATTTTTCTACTTTTTATTAACATTAATATAGTGTTGTACTTTCGAAAGTGTAGTTCAAAGATGAAGTTTCACATTTTATTTCTATCGTTATTGTATTTTGTTTTTTGTTTCTTAGTTTTAACTGCACCTCAACTAGCTGAGATTGAAGCAGCTCTTCGTACTGGTTCTCCAGATGAAGTACTTGTAGATAAATTTAGATTAGTTATTACGCGTCGTGAATTAATGACATTAACTGGAACAAATTGGTTAAGCGATATGGTCAGTTTCATATTTATGAATTAATTGTGACCTCAGATTATATTTTAGGATAATTATTGGTTTTTTGTAAATCTAGCCAGTAAAGCGGTAATACACAAAGCTGTAAAGCAGTATAAACAACTAACTTGCAATTATTCAGTGATCAATGCCTAAGGCTTTTGCCTATATTTGTCGAAAGCATTCGGTAAAATGTAAACTTCCCGATTCAAGCCTGTCCGATAAACGTAATCTATGGTAACAAATCTTAAATGTGATGTAGCTCGATATCCATCGTGGTATACCACATCTGTATCTTCGTTCGTTAGTTGTCTTTAAAAATCTTGATTTCGATGTTTATGCAAGTGCAGAAAAGTTTTTCCACTAATTTATCTTTTAACGACTAATCAATCAATTCTAGTACATTCACGTTCCAATTTGAAGACTTCTATAAGTACCATGATCTAGTATGAATAATCAAACATACAATTCATTGATGGAAGTTCAGTTCCTTTGTACTGAATCATTTTAACTTATGATTACCTTCAATAAAGCACTAAAATCAGGTAGTCCAGTGGCTATTTATTTATTGTATATTTAAACGCATTGGTAAAAGGGGGTATCAAATAGATATGCATCACATAAATTATTCGATTCTTGTGAGGGCTGGAATACTGTCCGGGTATCCGAACCGAAGCAGTCCAGTGTCTGGTAACTTACATCTTATCATTACCCAATTATTTTCCATAAAACATTGATTCGCTATCTTCTCGTAAAACATACTCTAAAACGTTCTGTACATTTTCAACTATCCCATTTTCTAAGTTTTATTAAGCTAGCAACGTTTCTTCTGTAATTTAAGTATTGTCAGTATACAAGATCATACATTTCATCTTCAAACTTTTAATTTATGAATTATTTTCTATACTTTGTTTCACAGGTAATCAATTTCTACTTACAATTGTTACAACATCGAAGTCAACATCAAACAAATCTTCCTCGTATCGCTGTTTTGTCAACATTTTTTTATGCAAAGTTAACAGCACCAATTAGTGGAGGTTATTCAGGAGTACGACGTTGGACGCGACAATCAAAATTATTTGATCAAGATATTGTACTTATCCCAATTCATGACAGAGGAATGCATTGGTGTTTAAGTGTAAGTAAATAATCGAATGGCAGGGTTTTGAGTGCTACCCCTACTTTTTACTACCAAGTATTAGGTATAAACACTGTTACCTCACGTATTCCATTCTAAGTAGCCAGTCATTATCTTTAAATGTCACATAAAAACTCACCACTGAAAGTTCCGAGTCTGTTTTGTTCAGAGAGTTACACCCTAGTCCTTTAACCTTGAGGTCTCATCCACAAGGTAGTGGAGCAACATCAGAAGACGCAGTCTTATATTAGATCGTGACCGAAATAGGTACATACGCTAATTGTTTCCTCAGGGCCCTTCAACTGATCTACATCGTTGGTTTGAAACTAGGGTTTTTCATTCTTAGGTGAACCGTCAGTTCTCATCAACTTAGTTTAAGCGCCATGTGTTCGCTTTACATCTCACTTTCTTTAAACCACCTCTACCCTGTGAACTCAGTGAGTGGAACTTCCTCCGCATAGTCTATAAATGAGTAGGCATCTGATAGCATTTTGATTGTGTGGACTTCCCCAGCCCTCAGCCGTGAAGTGGAATTTACGGAGCTTTAAGAGGTAGTCCGTGGACTTCCTCAGGGGCGAAAACTACTCATCTTAGCATACCTGATTAAAGATCGTCACAAAGTTATAATGGTGACCCTCCACCTGGAGCTAGGACATTCGTTACCAGACTGGTCCAATTGTGTAAACTTGTAGTTCAGTGTTAAGTTTTTAGTAGTTGAATTCATGAGTCGATCTAGACTAAACGACGATTAAAGACCTGGAGGCAATGGACGGCCGTTTCGTCCTAGTATGGGACTCCTCAGAAGTGCCCATCCACGATCTTGCATGTCGGACTCGAACCGAGACCTTTGGTCTCGCAAACGAATGCTTAACCTCTAGACCGCTGAGCCGGCATGCGGTGGTGTTAATGCCTAACTTCAATCGATCCACGATCTTGCTTCCAGGTTTTCAGTGGTGGTCCAGCTTGAATTGAATCATGTATTCAACGACTAAACCTACTACAATCTCCACAAATCCCCATTCTGAGAATGACAATTTGTCATTATTTGTTGATTAAAGGCCAAAGTTAAAGCGACTAGTCCTTTTGATAAATTCAGCCAGTTCACTGAAAGAAATTTATCAGTTATGTACAGTTTTGTAGAATAGCTTTATGTAACAACAATCTCTCAATTTTACTATAATTACTATTATCAGAAATCATTCACTCAACTCTCCCATGGAGGTGGATTCATAGGAGATGCCTAGTCTTCAGATTAACACTGAATCTTAGCAGTACTAGAAGTGGCCAAAATCACTTTTTATTTCCCCACTTTCGTGTTACCATTACATAAAGTTGATGGAAAATAGATTATGTACAAAATTTAATAGCTAATTAATTATAAACGTTGGTATTTGAATGTCAGTTGGTGAAATAATCATATAATGCTAGTATGGTGAATGGACTTATAGTTGGTTTTACATTGCTTACTTTTAATAAGTAAATGATGTATGGTAGTATATCACAATATTAATCTGTTGTAATTCAAATGCAATATATCTGTTATGACGGGCGGTCTCCTAAATAAACGCGATAACCTCCCCACCCCCAACTGACTAATTGAGTGAGAACAAAAGGGTGAATGAGAAAGTATATTAGGCTGCCGAATAAAATACACAAATACTCATTTATTTACATATAACTCTACTCCTTAGGAAATTACTCTGTTTCTTAGCCAATGGTATGCACTTGTTCTCCAGGTCACTACTGATTACCATCGATTGACCTTCTCATGTGGCTACGTTTGAGTGGCTTACCTGTTAGATATCTATTGGATACTTTTTGCTGATTTAATTCTAAACTCATCTGTCTTTTAATTTACTTATCTGTATTTTTTCTCTTTTAAAAAACGTAATCCCTTTCAAGTGTATTGATTTACGTGTCAAAACGATAACATATTACGATTCCATGGGTTCTCGTAACGTGAAGTGTTTGGAACAGTTAATGTAAGTTTTACGTTTCTGCTGTATATCACTGACTGAAGGCTTTATGTGTATAGTCAGAATGGGTTTTGTGGAGAGTTTTAGAAGTTTCACAGGTTGAAATCATGAGTCGATTGAAGGAGTCCCATACTAGGACGAAACGGCTGTCCAGTGCTTCCAGGTTTTCCATGGTGGTCTAGCTTCAATCGACTCATGATTTCAACCTGTGAAATTTTTGTGTATAAATTATTTTTCAAGAAAGCCTCACTAATTTCTATCGAATAGTTTCGATGTGCTTTGCCTATGAATCTATTCCAGGCTTTCAGCTTGTTAGTTTGGTAATCCAATGCTTAGAAATAGAAAAATTCAGCACAATAGTATTTCGTAGTTTACATTAAGGACTATCCTCAGTTAGATAATTATTGAATATCAGGGGGTACTGGAAGTTGTTTCATTCGGGTACAGGGACTACTCATCACTGCACATTCACCACCACACCGGGCACTAAACCTAGATCTTTCTGTTCTCTGAATTCTAGGAGACAACCAATGACATTTAGAGTTCGACCATCTTAGTCAGGTCCCAAACAGTAGCATTAAAAAATAGCTGAGCAATATTGCGGATTGATTTAAGTTAAAGACTTGTAGATAGTTTTATGTTGAGTTAGTGGTAAGGCCTTTGCTGCGAAACCTTATTTTATTTATTTATTTGAACATATAAATACTGGCACAAGAGGGCACCAGTTACATATGCGCCACACAAATCTCATTTGATATGTGTGAGTGCTGTGGTATTGTCCGGGTGGCCAAACCGAAGCACGTATGTGAAACCTGACAGTTCTGGGCTCGATCCTCGATGGTGTCGTGGATGCATAGTCCTGAGGATTCATATACTAGAACGGAACATCTTTATAGTGCTTTCTGGTTTTTAGCGACTTTAACTTAAGTCATTTCATTATGTAAATTTTAAACTTCAATAATTTCCATAATCTTCATTTAATTATAGCAGTTTTCGTCTAGTCAAACTTATACTTTTCTCAGCCTCTCTAGTCGTAAAACTTAATGGTCAGATTGTCATTGGTTGTGTTGATATTATCTCGTCTACCGTTAAGGTGACATGTAAAGCGACTTACTTCTGATGAATTCCGAGCAAAAATAGGTAAGGCGTTTATAGATGATGATGATGATGATGATCGTATAGCTCATCTCTCTATCGTATTTGTTTGTGATCTAGGTACATTGTGCGTCACAAACAATAGCACTGAAACCCATAAAATTTCTTGTAAGCAATGTCTATATCGATCGTTATCCAGTGAATGTTTGTGACGATTGACCTTATAGACCTTTTGCGATTACGTAATAGCCGACTTTTAACCACAAACTTAAACGCCTCCCAGCTTTTACAGCAATCAATTTTTGTTTTTACTAGATAAAACGAAGTTTACTATTCCGAAACCCATATATGGGAGGGTGCGTGTACTACTCGATCCAAGTGAGGAGAAAAAAACTGGTTAATATAGATTTATTTGATCAGTGGGAATAACCAATTAATATGATCAATAAACATACAGGATTCGTACTTTTATTCTTTATTGACAACTAAACAGATCTGATTAAACTTTGACTCAATAGAAGTTAACGTAGCTCAGTTAGTTTTAATAATCGTATGATTGGAATGTTACAATCGAATAGCACATTGACTACTGAGTCACATGCTTAGTTCCTTTTACCCAAAATCCTCGTGCATATAACAAAAACCTTTAACTATTCTTAATCTTAAACAAATATATTACGAATGAATAGTTTTCTTTTAAGTTTATGTATAATCGAATTCTTGTTCGTAATCTACTCTTTTTTTTTAAAAATTGTTTTCTGGAAAGGGATTATTTGAAAAATGAATCATTAGACAAAAGAAATGTTGAACTGCCAGATCCGGATTCTTGGAAACTCGTTAATACAGAGGTAATTTAACTCTTACTTAGTGTTGACTATCACTATGTTAGTTCGTTTCATATTCGTTCTGTCGATTCCAACTCGCTGTGCTGACGTGGTATGGTAACTCTGATCAACATTTATCGGTGCTAAGTCTTATGTTGACTTTAACTAACTGAGGATTGATTGATTGAATCACTCACTTTTCGAACAGAATGATAAATTTAAATAATCATTTGATCTATGTTCACAATAAGTTGAATGTTCCAGAGAGTTGATAGTTTGCTGGTCAACTCACTTAACCCCCAACAGTTTTTGTCGCAGGTCCAAACCCCATCCTACCTACTTTGGTTTGAGCGACCGGGTAGTATCACTAGCTCTTACGCGTAAGCTGAGGCCCACAGCCAAGGACACACATCTGTACTTGGTAAATGAGTTGCATTATCAATTCGGTTTTATCGGTCGGATAATATCAGTTGTTTTGAATCGTTTGACAAGTACTTGCTATAATCAACATGTATCTCTGAGAAGTTCAACTTGCATAAATAAGTAAAGGTTAGTAGTCGACAAGTATAGAACGTTTTAATGTCTGATGTTTCGCGACTGAGTTATTTGATTACTTAGCTTTTATGTGTTCTTCAGATGTTCTTAGTAATGTCTTAAGAGTTCAGTTAGTTTGTCTTTTTGTTTCTGGATGGTGAAAAGTTGCTTAGTTTTTTCTGTATGTGACAAGAACATGATATTCTGTAAAAATGACTGCTCTCAATGTCAAACTCATGCTATAAACCAAATTGCATTAGTTTATACTATCATGTAGTTCATTGTTCAAGGTATACCATTGTTATCTTTGAAGTATCCATCGTCCTGAGAAGCACATTGATCATCGTATGAAATGACTATTGTTTAATTATGATAATGAAAACTTGAATATACAGCCTCACTTTTAAATAGAGTAAAAATCATCTTCTAATTACGAAAATACTAATTGATCTAGTTCTATGAAAAGCTGTACAAAATTTTGAGTTGTCTGATAATCTAATTAATTCCTCAAAGTTATACGAATTAATTAATAAATCTAGAAATTACCTTGGTAACTTATCTTGTTAATTTCATCTCACTATGTTTATGTCGTATAAAAACATTTGCCAATACACATATATGCCATATCCAAAGTTGTTTATGCCTTGCCTACAAATGCCCTGGTACGGCCGAGAGTAGGGAGAATCCGCTCTCCCTCTCGAAATGCTCTAATATTGTCGCGGACACAGCCACTACCAGAGAGGTCCTACTCATTGCCTTCTCGTGGCAAGGGTGTTGTTCACGAAATTAAGAGGATGAAAGGCGAATGTCCATCTCTTTAATCGGGTTTGTGGAATCGGAGGACCCATCTAAGGCAGTTGGAAAACCCTGATTCCAAACCAATCGTGCATATGGGCTCCAGGATCGTGAGGTAACAAATGGCGTATGAACCAATTCTTGGTCACCGGATACCATGGGACTGCATCTCCTAACGTTGCTCTACTGCCTTGTAGATTAGACATTTAGGTCAAAGGCTGGGTGTGTGGGGGGCCATTTAATAAAACCGCCTGATTCGGTTTAGGCGCCCAATCAGTATTTTTGGCCATTCACAGACTAAATCATTTTTGTGCGGTGCTCGTATATCTGGTGCCCCCTTGTACCAATGTTTATGTGCTCCGATAATAATGATAATACAACCCATCATATAATTGATTTACCTTTAAAATATTTATTTCAAGGACACTGTGCCTCAGCAGTACAACGGTTCCGATTGTGGCGTTTTCCTCTGTACATTTGGTGAATTCATCTCTCGTGATGCTTCATTTACATTTAGTCAGGTAATCTATTCATTTTCAAATTGTTATCCAATTTTCACAAAACCATGTATGTGTATGTTTTGTTAATTTATCGTGTTATTTATGACGTTGATTTTTAATACTTACCAAATATTACTTAATAATCGTATTATTGTATTTGTATATAACAGTCTCAAACAACACATTAGTTAGATTATGAGGTTAAAAGTTATATTAGTTTGTTGTGTGAATATATGTCGGTTATACTAACAATAAAAGTATTTCTGTCATCGTTCATTTCGCTTTTAGGAATTTCAGTGGTTACCGTATATTTAACTGAGTTTTAGTTTATTAAGTTCAGTCAGACGTTTAAGATCGAAAAATCAGTTTTTTATGTTACTTTGTTTCAGTTTCAGTCAGTCATCTACAAAGTAGGACCAGGCAAATATATTCATAGGTTCACGTTGCCGTACCTCATTAGCAGAACAAGATGATCACCAAATTCATAGAAGCAGTTACTTCAATAATAGTAAGAAAAGACTTCATATAAGGATATGATACAGGGAGGAAAATTTAGTTCGTAGGAATAAAGGCATGAAATGATTTTAATCTCACGGTTTAAGGAAAGACAAAGAGTGTATACACCTACGCTATTGCTATCGATTCTGAACCATATCTCCCAGAGTCTCCAACCATTGGTTACGATAATCATGCGGACCCCAACCAAGTAATCTGTATCTACCAGCATGGCTCAAACTAGAAGTTAACGACTTTATGGACTGATGCTACGTTTTGCTTTGGCCGCCCCTAAATTTCTTCCATCCATCTGCAATACTGGTCAGGATTCCGCACCGTGGTAATCTGTGTTCAGGCATGTGTAACACGTGGCCCAACCATCTCAGTCGATGTAGATTCACAACCTCATCAACTGATTTACCATCATTCCCAAATACTCTGGCGTCTAATCTCACTGTTATTTACCCGGTGATCCCAACAGATGTGAGCAATATTTCTAGAACATTTATGACCAAACTTAATAATGTAGTTTTTAGCGATATGTCTAACACTGAAGGATTTCAAAATTCATGGTCCAACCGTTCAAAAATCCCGATCTTATTATAACAAAAAGTATCTGAAGGAATAATATTTGTTTCATTAATTCATAACTAGATTTATATATTTATCAGTTTGTAGGTGTCATTACCAGGATTTGACTTGATAATTTCGAATCTAATGTGTAGTAATCTACAGTGAAACATCAAGGAACTGATGAAGATTTAGGGCTTTTTCAATATAAAATAGATGTATGTGATCGTAAACCATTACAAATATTTGTTTACATCGTGTGTATAATATCGAATGAAGAAGATATATGCTTAATTCATGTCAGATTGTTGGAAATAGTCAAAAGGGAGACATTACTCAACTTAGGTTTCTCACTAATTGACAGTTTATTGCAAGATATAATCAGACTTTTCATGAAATACTACTAAGACCAATTTAACATGACCTTGACCACTTCTTAATATTCATTAAACTCTAATTACCTCAATCGTTTGAGAAATTAATCCCTACACGAAGAGCTTAATGATAACGTCTTAGATTCATTTATCAGTTCATTGAATGTGATCTATACCACTTCTGACTTAAATGTTTGATTATATGTATAATCATCTATAACAGATACTCACTAGCTATTCATATATATATATGCTCATACATAATTCATTTCATTTATATTATATTCTGTTTTCTATTACTTATCTAATTACAAAGGATGATATGCCAGGAATACGTAAACGTATGATGTATGAAATATTGACACAACAATTATTAACTACAAATTTCAAATTAATTGATGATGATAAATAAAGAAAGAAAGAAAGAAAAAGAACAAGATGTTTTTGTTTTAAATAGAGATTCTTTTTTCTGCAATCGTTGTTCTTTTCTTTTATCTTTCTCTCTTTTTCTTCTCTCTGTTGTATTGTATTGTATGTATGTATGTATGCGTGTCTTCTGTGTCTTTGTTTTCCCCTTACCAATCTGTACACAATACCTTTTATTTATAAAAGAGTTTAAAAAACTTTATTTTTGTTTAAAAAAATATGTTCATAATATTCTAATTCTATTTAACTGAATAGAAAGAATTTCGATTGTTTCTATGGTGTTTTGCCTACTTGACTATTGCATAATGTTGTAACTCATCAAATTACATGTCTGTCTATACGAGTTTGAGCCAAGTTTTTTTTAATTTAATGTATTTGTTTAGATGATAGTGACAATACTCAGTTATCTAAACTAAATCACATGAATCTAGATTGAAATTTACGAGTTTCTAGTTGACATTCGATGGATTCAATCACTAAATCACCCCTTAATGAGTTCAGGACTCTTTTGAGGTTAATGTGTCTTGTCTATTAATTACTTATATTAGTATCTTAAATTTTTGTGTTTATGATTTGTTGAACATTTATTCTTAAGTGGTAGAGTATTATAACCGCAATAGTTACTTTGTTAAGATTCGTAACATTTGGCGGATTTTTGGTCAAATTTTGGGGGATGAAATCAATGTAGGGTTTTTTTTGGAATCCAGCGATTGTAATTTTCGTTTTATTTTTTGGATAGGTCATGAAAACCCTATTGAAACTAATCAGTTAGTTTAAACAACTGAGATAAGTAACTTTCTTTGATCAATAATGAATGAATTCTCGTTGAATTTCCTCAAATTTCTTTATCTAATCATGTCCAGTGAAGCTTGAAAACATTCAAATAGTCTTCAGTAAATTAATCAGAATTCTTAAGCCATCAAGGGCTAAAAATCTTAATCAAATAGTTTACCAATAACGTTTTATGATCAGAATCTACTGAGGCTCCATATTCATTGTAACGATTCAGGCAAGAAAAGATGTACATTTGGTAAATGTTATTGCTGAGACCATAATTTATGGACGACTTTAGTGACGTTGAGAATGTCCATCTACCTACTAGGACTAAATGAGGATTATAAAGCAATTTGAAGGATGTAGTTTATGATTTATAGTTGATGGTTATGGTTAGGAATTGGATTTATGGTTTTTCATCACCGACATCAGCTAAAATGCCAACGGGTGACTGAATTTAGAACAGAATATCTATTTCATTCGGTTCTCATTAGCTGCTTTTCACTTGTAATATTGAAAATCAAAATTACAAAGTGGATTGAAATATTTACGAATTAAATGTAGATAATGGTTCTTGAATTGCAGATATAGGTGTCAAGGAGAGAACAAGTTAACTTACTTAAAACAAAGTTATTAGTTTTAGGAAAACTGGCTAATTCACTATGTACACGCTTTTCGAAACGTTTCGTTTCGATTATTTCGTATTACATTAAGACGACTAGTTACTTCTCTCATCGTCAATTTCTTTTCTTGTCACAATCATTATCGTTTTTTCTGTTGATATTCACTTACTGTATTGTTAGCCAATAGTGACCAATTTAAGTCATACAATTAGTAGTTGATATAAGATGGTGGTTGGAAGTGATCAACAGGGTTTCGTGCTATTTGGTAGTCGTCAGCAAGGTATACCTGTAATGTTGATGTGACTGATACTCCCTAAAGAACCTGACACATGGCAGTGATCAATCGATGGTGAATTATTAATCGGTTGTCATAAATCCACTCTTAGAAGGAACTTTTTTTGTGTCTTATGCACAGATACTTATGTATTTAGAGTATACAGATAACAGTTATGATTCATGAAAGCTGGTGTAAAAATGTTTGGGACTCATTATCTAAAAAAAACGTTGCTTCAGTGCTCAGTAGGATGTTAGGAACTGGAGTAATTCAAAACTTATACTAGCATTCATATCAATTTTGATATGTTGGTTGGCAACATGCACATATGCCAACATGAGACTGATCAATTGCAGTCTTAAATAATAGGAAGATTCAGGCAAACAATACCAAGTGGATTTGTCATAACTGATGTTTGTTACGTATTCGAAAGAATCAGTAACATTGCGTAATGAACTCAATACTAAATTAGTAAGCCACCGATATGACTCCTGTTTCTTTGTCTTTGTTTATTCAAACAATAATGATAATAATATTGAAACCACGGACCGATTTAATTTAGGCAACCATTGAAAAAGTGGGAGCATTGGGTGTCAATTTCATGCTGATATGCGATTCCTCAAAATTGCGTATTCACAACCGGTAGTCGAAACCAGAACCTTTGATCGTGATTTCAATGTGATTCAACAGTCTCCATACTGACGATAATATTAATGGGCTTCACACACATATTATGATCGGTAGCCGGTAACACTAGTCCTTAATCCGCTATACGTTAAACCCTATGATTTTCATTATGATTCATATAAAATATAGAATAATGATTATAGCGAAACGCACATGTAAGTTATGAATCTAAAAATAAATATCCAACTTCACTTTGTGTATTCACCATCGAATTTATTCACCCTGATTAATTGGTTTCGTATAATTTACTTTGATTCAGTTCAGAAAATAAAATGACATTTAGTTTGGTGAGTTTACATAAAATGTATATTGCTAGAATAGAATTATTTTAGAAGAAAATTGTTAGTTAAAGACGTTCTAGGATTATTCAATTGAGTTATACATTAGTGTGTTAAGTTCTTAATCGAAGATTTTAGTTTTACCTCTGAATATTCACTGTTTTTCTCTTCGAACTATATCATGGTTACCATCATGTGATTTCCTCTGAACATATTGATCAATAAAATAACTACTCGGACTGACTATCATTTGTACTAAGTTCAATATTGAGATGATGAAGAAGATTTGTAGCTCATGTGGATGATTTTGATGGATTTTTGTTCTCTGACTAAACCATACAGCTCAGAGAACAAAAATTCATCAAAATAAGTTCAATAGTGTTTCTGATGGATATTGTCTGTTGCCACGGCAACTTTCTTTCATTGACCCATGTCATATTATTGAACGATAGTTTATTTATAAAGCTAGCCCATATTTACTTACAAATTAAAATTTAAAAAACTGTAGTTAGGTATTACTTTAATGTTACATTGACTTTCAGATAGTTATTTATTACAATACCTATTCTAAAAATAATAACAAATGAAGTGGTCGACAAACCTTTTATTTTTTCTTCTTTACAACATGTAATGTAAACGTTCAATTATGAAGTTTACTTCTTTCCATGTGTTTCATGTGTAGTATTTCCATTCAACTTCACGGTAGTTGTAGGTGTAGTCGTCGTCATTCCAACTGTTGTTGAATTTGTATTATGTGAAGTAACATTTACTGTTGAATTGGAGGCAGTCTTAAGATGTTTCATAATATTATCTAAATGGCCACGACTATGTAAATGAATAATTATGACTCTTGATCTTGAATTATTTCTATTTATAGTATGATTATGATGTAAAGTGATTGTAGTATTAGGAGTAATAGCTTGATGTGGTCGACTTATTATCACTCGTCTATTTGGTATACTCAATAATTCACATACAAAATATTTTGTTTCAGTACAATAATGTACACCCCATTTACCACTAGCATAATCTATTGATAGACAAGCAATATCATTTGCTCTTAAATTTTCTAATACAGGACTATGATGATGTAGAAAACGTAAAGTTACAGGTGTATGATCTGTCCACGTTTGTATTACATGTCTATGTTGACCATTGAATTCATGCACAATTAATTTAATCAATCCACCAATCCAAAATTGTCTTGCTTCTGTGGATAAAACCCAACCCATTATTACATGTATCATAGATGAGCTATGAATTGATACTAAATCACCGTACAGAATATTTTTCGAATGATTGAGATACTTAGTATTCAGTGTTGTATTTATATAGTCATTTAAGGAAATATTATGTCTTGTAGCATTCTCAATTAATGTCTCATTAATAAGTTGGATATTTCCAGACAACTTTTGACAAAATCTCATTGCATCATAATGACTAAGGCGTGCATCATTACCGCCATGAACATACACAAGCGTTAAATATGTGCTAACATGTTTTACTGATAATTTCCAACTACTTGTGAGTAGTAAATTCCAAATTATTAAAAGAAGGAGTGATATAATTCGTGTAGACGTCTTCATTGCATAAAATATCCTATCCTTTTTTCAAAGTACACATGTATTTATACAATAGCTAACCAATTAATTATAGAGTACATTGTAATCTATAAATAAGGTTGATTATTCAATGTTTGCTTGTAGAATAATTCTCATTTAGACAGAATTAGTGCATTCAATTATTGATGTGTACACCGAATATTATATTTTCGTACTCAGTTTACTATTCCCATACATACCATCTTTTTCATATTCACTATGGTTTGTTTAAACACAATAAGTCATTGCACTTGAAAGCCTATCGAGAAATGATTACTTTTCAGAGTAATATTCGTGTAAATTACAACAATTTTCATGTTGAAGTTTCACATCATCAACTGACTTGAGTTAGGTGACCATTGAAAAGCAGCAAGATTTGAACAGTTGTTCTGTCTCATTTCAGGAAACGGGATGAATTGGCGTCCACAACCGAAATTGGACCAATTAATACAAAGGTCAAGCGCTTAGGGCCCGATGGGTTTAGGTTTTATCCCCAGTAACTTGACGAGAAGTGCTTCCGGGGACCGCTATCACGATGAAATACAACTGTCTAAGATTCACTGGTTTACATCGGCCATCTGGTAGTAACACGTGTAGCACTAATGACAAATTCCAGACTAGAAAAAACTATCTGCCCTGTTCATCATAATTTTGAATGGTTCACCTGTTGAGATCAGTCTATTATGAAAATATACACAACATTTCCTGAATTATTTGTATATTTATGTAGTGAAAAACTAATCAAATACACTCACATTATACAATAGTTGAATGTTCACAAATGTTAGAAGTTGAATCAACACTGATCAATAAGTGAATGGTATAACATAAATTTGATGAAAAACTTTATCAGTATAGATATAAGCAAAGAAAAATAGTGGCTAGCAGTAAAATCCAGGACGCACGTCCCATCCTATTCGGGACTCGTCAGCTAGAAGTACCTGCATCCCAGAGTTGCTGTTTACTCCGGGACTCGAACTTAGTACCGTTCGCTTCAAACACCATCGCGTTGTTCACTTGGTGTTGCTTTACTTGTATCTTCCCATTGTTATTTGGGAGTGCAATTGATCAGTCTCTTGTTCACATATGTGCATCCTTTGAGGATGGCCTCGACATGACCTTAAGTCACAAGCTTTTTAAGGAATGACTTAAGGCTGTATTGAAACAAGACGCACATATGCTAACATGAGAATGATCAATTGAAGTCCTAAATAACAATGGGAAGATATAAGTAAAGCAACACCAAGTGAATTTAATACAGATACAAGTTTATTTAATTTAAAGCCGGTTATACTCAGTTTTTCAAGTCTCAAGTAAACTGAACCCCATAAACTTGCGACATTTTATTATTGATTACAATTTAATTATTGTCTTCGTCATGGATTGTAATGAAGTTTCAGATCACCTCAATGATTGGCCAACTGTCGAATCTTACTGAATATTACAGACTTTAACATTTTTCATAAAAATCGTATACTTAATTGCAGTCAAAAATGATGCTTGCATTGTATCCTTTCATTTATATTTCACTTACATAATCAACAAGTACATGTTTGCGATCCACTGTTATGTATAAGGAATTCAGCGTTAATGTATCGCACCTCACATTTTTTCTATTCAAAAAGGATACATTCTGTATGCTTACATAACATGTTTCAGTATGCATGCACTGATCAAATCAAAGTGTTCAAAACAACCACAACAGTGTAACAATTCCACCTGATAAATATCTGGAATACGCAGCAAATTAATGTATTAAAACGATTTAGTATAAACTGTTAGATTTAGAGCTTTGATTTCTTTCTAGACCTGGCACTACTTGAGCATTGGAATGCTAGAACCCCACAATTTGCAAGTGAGAACATAGGATACGAGTGATAAAAAATGCTATTCCAAACAGTGTCAAATATATTACGAAACTCTTAGGTATTCATAGTTTTTAGTGAAAGCGAAATCATCATTACAGCCACCCAATACGCGTGTAGTGAGTTTTAGCTTTTGTTCAATAGGGAAGCTACATGTCATGATTCTGAAATGTAACCCGAAAAGATTATTAAATGGAATGTCTCAGGCTCTTTCTGAGTTTCTTTGAGTTCACTCGGTGGCCGTCCTTACATAAACTATATGAAAATGTTGACCTATTCGACCAATGTTTACATAGGGTCTATTCCTTTACTTAATAATTTTACTAAATGTTTCAGAAGCATCGCTTTGGTATAGTTGAAAAACCAAGTGAGCAATATTGAGTACCAGTTAGAGATAGTTAATCGATTGATGAGACTGTTATTGTTCATCAATGTTGACTGATGTCAGTTGGAAGAAAGTTAGGTGAAATTGAACAGGAATCGAAGATCAGTGTTGGTGAGTGATCAATACTACATCTGTTGGAGTCATGCTGATAATCACCTGCAGATGTTGAATAACGGTGTTGCTGATGAATTATTTATTAAATTTTCTAGAAAAACCCTGTTTTTATTCTACGAATACATTCCATACTTCGGAACCATGTCCATCAACTTCAGCCTACTGTTATTTTAATTACATTCTCTATTTTATGACGTCAATTTTTTTATCTTCCCGTGGTAATATGGTTGTGGCAACTTAAAATGACGCTTGCTTATTCCCGATCCTAGGCATATTATGTCTAACTGACTGACTGGGTTCAATAACTGAGAATATTATGAAACCACATGTTGTGTTATATGACTTATACCTCTATAAAACATTATAAAATCGTCAATCAGGATATCGAATTTTATGACACTGCTTCTGTGTTAAGCCGATGACACGCTAACCAACACTAGCAGTCTTAAGTCGCTTAAAATCTTTATATAGTATATAGCAGTTTCTCGCCTTCTCCTCCTCGCTGAATCCTGAACGCGGTATTAGCCTCCGCTGTATGAATAATATAGTTTATATACAAACAGACCAGACTGCATCATACCATGAAATGAAAAATATTAATCATGCATGATCAACCGTCGACTGCATATACAAATTTTCATGTGCCTGAGAAACAGTCACATTGGTAAAACACATCCTAGTGTCTCAGTTCATTGTAATTAGAAGCATTTAGAAGTGTTATTGCAAAGCATCTGTATGGCACAGGACATTAGTATGAAAAGCGGAGATCTTCCAGGATCATCAATTGACAGTCGAATTCCCTTTTTCTTGAATTCACCAAATCCACTAACATCAGACGATTCAAGCTGAGCTTATACGTCAAAAAAGGTAACAATTACAACACTTTCCTTACCATGGTGACATAATCGTCAGTTTATTACGTCATTGTTGTAATTAATTCACTCTTATTTTAATTGCATCACTTCTTTGTGCAATATGTATATGTATAGTTAGACACTAATACTGTTAAATAGCGACTCAGTGATCTAGAGATTAAGTGTTGGCGCACGAGACTGAAATTTCTGAGTCCGATTGCCGTATGCGGAGTCATGGATGCGCAGTTCTAAGTGTCGCATAATAGGGAGAAAACAGATGCCTAGTGCTTTCAGGTTTTCAATGATAGTATAATTTTGATTGGGTCTATGATTCAATGCAAGTCAACAACCTCCATAACCTCTTACTGACGTATATATTTATACATTTAGTAAAGTATTATATACTCATTTTGTACATCTAAATTTATTTATTTAGATTATTCATCATTTTAGAATTTGAATTTACACACTGATAAAATTTCATTCTGATATTTCTTTGACTCTTCGATTGGTGCGTTATTCAAATTCAATAGTGGATTGTTTTGATTCCTGTCATCTAATGTAGATGATCTAAAATGCAAAAAATCAAAATGTGGTGAATAATGGTATTCAATAGGTGTTAATTCTATGACTAAACAGTGATAAAAACACTTATTTAAACATTCATACTTTCATTATTGTATTGGTTGTTTGAATCTTCTCATTGATGTTTACGACTGCAATTGATCAGTTTCTTTTGGCACATGTATATACTGTGCGGATTGACACGATATTGCGTTGAATTACAAGCGTTATTAGGAGAGATGGATGGTGGCTAGCAGTAGGATCCAGGACGCATATTTCGTTCTATCTGAGACTCGTTATCTGGATTTACTTGCATCTTGATTAATTGCGGTCCTAAACATCATTAGGAAGTGTCAAATAACCAATACAACAATGAATTGAACTTCACCCTAATCCACAAGCTGGTGGCTATCTGGACTCAGTAGCGTTTGAAGTTAACGGTATTGGATTCGAGTCCTGGAGTGGACATCTACTCTGGGATGCAGTTACATTCAATTGACGAGTCCCAAATAGGAAGAAACGTGCATCCTAGATTCCACTGTTAACCATCTTCCATCTATGCTTTATTTAGTTTGACATTAAAATGCATTTAATTGATCTATCATAGCATATACGGTGGTGATGATGCTGATGTCCAAATAATTAGTTTGGGCAAACTTCAGTAATATGGAAACATAGTTAATGTGTTATAAGGACTCAAAGACATTTTACCATTATGGATGACAATACAACAAATAATCAACAGGAATACGATTTATATTCTCTGGTATGAAGTATGTGTACCTTTTTGTTTTAAAAATAACTAATACTATTTTCTAGGTTGTAAGCAACTAGCGAAAATCCACGAAATAAATGCTTTTACATACTTCTATAATCGTTATTCTTATTCAACGCAAACTTTTATACTCGTCTGATCAATTTTAATAAGGGGTTTTTACAACTGGACCAGTCGTATTACACTAGCGATACTATAGGGGGAGACATAAAACTCGTAACAGAAACATTGATGAACAGAAGTTATTCATAGAAGTTTATAAACCGTTGGTAACAATATGACGAGATCTACCATATTTTTGGCAATCAAAAACAGATCTATATTATTCTAGCGTTCAGAGGTGACTTGAATTGTCTCATGTTGAGACAAAGACTTAAATCAGCTATCAGTAGGACATTTTATTCAGCTTAACTGATTACTATCGAAAAGTCATCATCTATGTTTCACCAAAATTCCAAACAGTATGGAAACGATTGTGTCGCATCTCGCCATGTCTACCAATTTACATGTATATTTTGAAACACAAGCATAGGGAGGAGCAATCGTGATCTATAATTAGGGTTACTAAGCACGTACCTAAATGGCTACAAAAATAAATGAACTTCAATAATCATAGACAAGTATCTTCCTCCACTGTAGAACATTTATTTGAGACAGGTCATATGTTTTATATCAAAACAGCTTTCGTAGTGTTAAACAAGAGTGTCCAAGGGTATATATTATGGTTTATTGAAACCTTGACGATGCAGAAACTAAAACTTGCCTCATGTGTTAGAAACCGACTTGTTCTTGCCTTTAATCTATCCTGGTAATATTATTTTATTATCCAGGGTGGTGAATTCCACATAGTTTTTTACATTGTTCATAACAAGTATATGTATATTCAGATTGTTCGAAGTGTATTACATAACTAGATCACATAACTCTTATAACCTTCGCCTTCTCATCGCATTATATAAATGTGTCCGATAGTCTGAATATTGTAACAAAATAATATCCACGTAATAGATCATACTACAATAAATCTAACAATAGTGCAGTTCTCAAAACTTTGTGAAACACAACAACCAGTTGTAATGAACGATTTGTAGTCCATAAGGATTCAATAAATCAATTAATTACATTGCAAACTAATATGTACCGAATTCTGCTTACAAAAATTTTAAAACCCCACCTCAATTACAACTGTATTTGTAATAAGTTTTAAAGTCATAAATCTAGGTACTTTGTAAAGACAATGAAGAAAATTGACAAGCACTGAACAGGTAAGACACATCAGCAGTATATATCCACAACCCTACCGGAGAAAAAAACTCAATCCTTTTAAGTTTCGATGCGAGCTCTTAACCTTTTAGATCAATTCATAATGTTGTCTAACCCCCTATATATAGTTAAAATATTTTTGTTACAAAAGAGTACAACATACATTTCTTCATTTCTCTCATTATCATTATACTCATTTTCCATTGAAAACATCGAATTCAATTCTGGGAAACGTTTGATCCAATCTTGAATATCTTGTTCAATCAGTTTTTTGACGGAATTTGATTCATCTTCATTTGGTAGTTCATTTACTTGTAAAATATTATCATCCTTTGAAGTTTGATGACATTTTGGATATGATACTAAATAAAAGTTAATTGACAAGAATTCAGAGCTGTTAACTAATTCGTGATCCTTCGTCAATAGAAAAATAACTTACAAATAAAGCTAAACGTTCTAAATTCAATAACTAGAGGATTGCTCCTGCTTGTCCACTGATGAACATTTAACATATCAGGCAAAATTTAACGGACTACATCTTGTTGTAAGACTACATGTTAAATGCGATAAGATTGTATAGAGAACGACCCATCAGTAAACGAGGTGTCATCCACAAAATAGTTTAAAAGTTTTGAAAATAAGCTTGTCAGTTTCATGCTGTAGTCTGTAATCTTACATATTATCCTACATATATCGTTGTTTTCAATGTTTTTCAAGTTAATAAATGGACTATGTATATGAAAATGGTAGATATAGTAAAACCTCCACAATACCGCCCTGTACTAAGCTAGATGTGGAAAAAGGTCGTATTTTCGACATTGTGATGAATTTAAAAAACATTGAAATATCTATTAAGTTATCCAGCCGTTATGCAGTTCGTTGGATAAGTCTGAAGCATTCCTCGAAAAAGTCCAGAAGGGCCATGAAAATGCCGGGAAAAATTTTGTCTAATAAGAGTTGAATAGACGTTTCCCAGAAGCATACAGAAAGAGAAACGTTATATGTCACGTTTTCGACTGGATGATTACCTATTCTGTTGCTATGATTAATATGGTCTTAGAAGCTTCCAGGAGCCTGAGGCCATCTAAAATACTATAAATAATTTCAATATTCTTTACATAAATTAACCATGGAGTAAAGTGTTCTGTGAATGCTTTGTGTCTTTTCTCTTGTGCCCAAGTTATCGTATAGAAGACATCAGCATTACAGTCAGTAGTACCAGTAAATATACTGGAATCATTCACTGCCTCAATGAATTGATATTCTTTTAATAAACGCTTTTCAATCAAAGAAATTCGCAAATAATTGAAGTCTACTTCTGTTGTAGAAGTTCTGAGAGTTTCTATTCAAAGACTGAAATATATAGTATGCTAGCTACGAAGCATTAAGTATGTGAGTTCAATCCACTCATATGGAACTATGAATGAACATTACTCACAAACTACAAAGTGGAGAAGATACACTGTTGTTCGCTGTTCTCTGAGTGTTTTATTAGCCCTCCAAATAATATCACTTCATAATGAGAAGTAACTACAAAACATCATATGCTGCTATGACTTACATTTTTTTAACGGTACTAACGGCTTGTGCATATTAGATGATGAACTCCATTGACTGAGAATACTATGATCATGTGTTTGATTCAAATTAATTAATACTGTATCAATGTAGTCTGAATTAGACAGACTAGAAGAAACAATATTATCATTAGGCTTATACAACTGATTGACTGAATTGATTAGTGCATGGGAATAATCATTCAATGTAGATTGATTTAATAATGTTAAGGGTAGATATTGATTCTGTAATTTAAGCAAAAAATAATCAGTCAAGATATGATAATAATTAATAATAACTTAATAATCGTAAGTTGTTTTATGAGTCCTAGAGTAACAGAAACTGTAACAGCATCGGCAGTTACAAATGATTGATCACTGGGTAGCGATCACTGTTATTATTTACGTTAGGTCTTAGTGATGACCAGCTCCTATCAGTCACATTGCAACGTGGCCGCTACTATAAGTGACTTAGCATACCTTGCACTATGTTGAAATTTTAGATGGCGTCTGTATTTAGTCAACAGAAAATAATGAATCTAGGTTTCATGCTATTGTTTGATATTCGCTAACAAGATGTACTTGTAATCTTGATAAAATTGATGCCCCACAGCTGATTCAATTTGAACCGTAACGCTGTAATTTGACCCATATGATTCGATCAGCATTAAGAAGGACTGGATAAACACGAAGTCAGCCACTACTCAATGATTAGTCAATTGTAAATATATCTTTGTCTTGCAAGATGTCAATGCTAACGTCTCTGACGGTAGAACTGGATGACACTGAGTCAAATCCGTCAAGAACCATCAGTTCCCTCAAGATTACAAACACACCTTTCAGAAAAGAGCCAAATAATATGAAACCTAGATATCAGAGTTCCTTTTCTATTACCTTCAATTATCACCTTAGTATTAGAAAAGATCTATGATAGAAAAGAAGAAATGAATTCAAAAAATTAGAAGATGAATTGTCAGATAAGATACAAAGTATGAATGCGCCTGTGAAATTGAAATTGATTCTGTTACACAACAATCGCAGCTGTTAGTTACAGTAATCATACAAATTCCATTCAAACAATCTTCAATTAAATATGGAGAAGGAGGAGGAACGCCTGTTACTCCCAATGGAGCATAGGCTGTCGACCAGCATTCTCCAATCCATTCCGTCATGGATCTTCTTTTCTAGTTCCATCCAATTCTTGTTCATTTTTCTCATGTGTATCTCTATTTCCCGGAGTAATGTGTTCTTTGGTCTCTCTCTCCTCCTTTGGCGTTAAATATTTCACGTGAAGGCTTGTCTTGTGACACAGTTGGGTACTTTTCTCAATGTGTGTCCTATCCACTTCCAGCGCTTCTTCCTAATTTCTTCCTCCGCTGGGATCTGCTTGGTTCTCTCCCACAGTTGGTTGTTGCTAATAGTGTCCGGCCAACGGATCCGAAGTATTTTACGTAGACACCTGTATCTTCTAGATGACGGCTTTTGTAGTTCTCCAGGTTTCTGCCCCATACAGTAGAATCAATTAACTATATTGTTTAATCAGTTCACTTAGTTGGGTAATAATCAGGCTGTTTAACTCAATTGTAATGATAAATTCTAATTTTTAATAGAAAATTCATCAATACCAATATTTGTACTTTACTGTTCAAAAAAATTGAATCCTGATCAGAATGGATATTGAATATTTCAAGCACTTTTTCAAGGTTAATGATTAATTTCAAAAAGTTTGGTTGTTTATTTCTATTTAGATTGTGAATAGAATGAATGTACTTATGATCAATGATGAATAAATAAATCCATGACGATATATGATTGTTATTAAATTATTTCAATTAGATCATGAACTGATCAATGTGTGAGACTATTATCATTGAAATTTATGGCAGTACTGAACTGTTGTTTCATCTTAGTATGAGTTGGTTATCAATGATGGTCTAACAGTTGATCGATTCAAGATTTTATTGAAATTCAATAATCTCTACAACCCCATAGTAAACATTACTATATACATACTAGTGAATAGCTTTGAGAGGAATTTTCCAGAGTTCAAATGAGAAACTATGACCGGTGAAGCTAAACTGTGTCAGATGTGAAGAAGTTATATATCGACAACAGTGAAAGATTGTTGCGTAATGTCATCGTTCAATTTAGACTTATTGGGCTAGAGTTTAAAACTGAAGGTCCTAGGTTCTATTCCTGCGTGCGACATCGTAGATACGTATTGGGATGAAACGGCTGTCCAGTGCTTCCAGGTTTTAAAAGGTGGTCTAATCTTGATCTGTACATGATTTCAATAAAACTCAACAATCTCCACTACCATATGCTTAGAATTACTATTTAAATATAAGGTTTCACCTTTAAACACTTCTCCTAACGAATCAGTCAAGGTTTTATACATTCATTCTATGACATGTATAATTGATGCATAATCAATTATTCATACAATAAAAAGTAATGTAAAATCCCCAAATGATTTGTGATGAAGTCAATGTAAGTTCAGTATGTTGGTAAATGAGTGTAGTATAACTGTCTAGCAAACTTCACAGTTTACAAAAGTATAAGAGGGAACAATTGAAACTGATTAAAGGAATAAACGACTATCAACATTAACTGTATAATCAAAAACGAAAACTTTCTATCTAACATCAATCTAACCATTCGACTTTTAGTGATGAATAAAATGCTTACAAATATGTTTAACTTGTGTTTTCTACTAATTACCCACCAACATCATCAAAATAAAATGGTAGATAGTGTAAGTGAGTTTGCACAAACAGTCTGTAACGCATTCAGTTACAGTTAGATTGAATTTAAAGGATAAGTATCACGGGCGCTGTTAATAAACACCGAATAACATTTTGGTCAAAGTGATAGCTTCCCTTGAATACAACAATCCATAGTGTTTCATGTTTCAAAACACTATCCTCTCTTGATGAAACATTGATTTACCACCAATTCAGCATAAGTAGTGATTCTAACAAGTTTATCGGATTCTCAAAATTTATTATCATTTCTTCAATTTTAATTTTATAGATAATATTGTGGTGTGTACTACTGATATTCATAGATGTAAGTAGTATGTATCACCAATCAAAAATCCAGTGTCTGTTGACAAAAGGTTCAGCAAATTAAAGGATAGAGAATGAGACGAAACGAAGGAACAACAAAGTCTGAGACAATTGATGGATACTTTACAAATGAATTATTTACTATATGATTCTCAGATTTTACTAAGAAATGCTGTAATTTTGTATTCTGATACATTTGGCTATCGCCACTGGTGATCCTGTTCACCACTGTATTATTACATAACCTCACAAATTCAAGTAAAAGGTTATTCACATTAATGGTTTCTATCAATAGCTATAAATAATTATGTTATGACATTGGATGTCTGGTTTTTCTATCGCACGACTTATCTACCAATCCGAGTACGACTTATACGAATCTTCACACTAGGCCAACCAATGACGTTCAACCGGTGTGGGCAGTTTAGCGCCCTTATTGGCCGTACGTCCTACGAGCCCTTCCACTTGAGTACAGAACACAATACCAGCTTCCGAATATGAATCGAATCAGAGCAGATCGTTTATTTCAGACATACCCGGTTTATATATCAATCATACAGACCGCAACGTACCATAAAATAGGAAATAATATTTGTACACAAATAAGCCCAAGAAGTGGCTGTGAATGTGGGAGGCAGTAGTTAATAAACTGAACATAACTTAAGAACCCTAAATCGTACAATAATAAATCGTAGGTCAAAATAAAGCTTATCATAAAAGGAATATAAATATCCATAGTGTAATTGTTGAGTAGTTATACAATAAGAATATTTATAGAATATTAGTCCATGAATAGTCCTCGGAAGTTACCTGTAATTTAATCTTCACCGGATATAACAAATTACATGGAAAATTCGTTATTATCTACAAGAATTTTACTAATGAATTGATTGAAATGTAGTAGAGATTAAATTAAAATGGGAGCCGTAGTTATCGCATTATCAATGATGAAAAATCATATGTAAAATTAGTTATCCTAATTCACCAACCGACTCAACATTCAGGGAACAAGATGATTGCTATAGTAGCTTCTTGTAACCAAAGTGAATTGTAGAAGAAGTTTAAATTCACTTGGTGTTGTTTTTACTTGTATCTTACTATTGTTATTTAGGACTGCAATATGCCAATATGCCCATATGCCAACAAGAGACTGATCCAATCACAGTCCTAAAAAAACAATGGGAAGATACAAGTAAACAATATCAGATGAATTTAAACTTCATCCGATTGCCACAAGCGAGTGGTTATCAGGACCCAGTAGCTAAGTAGATAACGTGATGGCGCTTCAAGCGAACGGTACTGGGTGCAAGTTCCGGAGAGAACATCAACTCTCAGATGCAGGTACATCCAGCTGAGTCCCAAATAAGACAAAACACGCGTCCTCAATCCTACTACTAGCTACTATCCATCTTTGCTTAAAAAGATTGTAGAAGAAGCTGTTTGCATATTATATAATAAATTTATGCATAAAATAATAAGAACTTGACACATTATCATTTTAATTGTATCGTGCTAAAAATTATTGTTTCTCTATCAATTTTAAACTCTGTAAGCATGGGTATTTTGGTGAACAACATAAGTCGACAATCTTTAAATTTCGCCCTAAAACCCTAGAGTAGTTTTCAGAATTCTCATTGGCCTGTATCTATACCATAGTTTTACTTAATCACGTTTTATTGCTATGAAGGTAATCTGTAGTTTGTGGATGCACTTCCACAAGAGGATAATGAGTGTGTGTTAAGCAGTGTCCAACTATCATCATACAGCTCACCGCTTCATTGTACTATCCAATAACTTTCCTGTTGAGTTCATTTCATGATGCAATAAATACTACCGTTAAGTCAATAACATAAATTTCTAGTAAATAAACTGTGTATTAGAATGAAAAGAAAAAGACAGAACAAACTTCAGAAGTGTTTTTTAGGTGATCAATATCTATATTTCTAAGATCTACTTATGAAACACTTAGCAAACGTGTCTTTTTTTATATTCACCCGATCGTAAGTTTCCATATGACTCGTGATGTCTTAATCATTTCCCGAACTATTATAAATTAATTGTAAGTCTATTATTCACTTTTGTTTTGCAAACATACAAGTTAATTACATGTTGTGATTTCTTATTTATGGTATGTTGTAGTCACAAGAGTTTTCTTAAATAATCTGATGATAGTACATTGTATGTGTCTATTCTAGTGTACAAATCGGTGGTTAGGAAGTAAAAGAACCCTATCTCACTGACATATCTGGTCACTAATTTAAGCGAGGAACAATGGTATTGATCCAAGCACATCATGGTAAGGTCATATCACTACAGAACTAACCTGAAATTGAAACATTTTAATTTTATAGAAACAAATTTATTATCAGTTTAAGGGTTGTGGAGATTGTTAAGGTTTTGATTGAGACCATCAACCGATTAATGTTAAACCACCATTGAAAACCTGATTCGTCCTATTATGGGATTCCTCAGCAGTGTGCATCCACGATCTCGCCCCCAGCAAGATTCGCACCAAGGCCTTCAGTCTCGCGTGCGGAAGCTTGACCTACTGGAGCACTGAGCCGGCATCCAATGGTGTTAATGTCTAACCTCAACCAATTCACGAAGTTGCGCGACCATCTTCCATTGTACGCAAATAAACAAATAAAGATGAAAAACTGACTAGGAAGCTCTACATTCTGAATAGTCATGATTACAGTTTGTTATTATGATATAAAAACAAGGTTAATTTAGAATAACTTACATTTGAGCACCTATCAGTGTTCATATTCGATCTTGATAACGAATGAATAGATCGTGGTAAACGTATCGCTGACTGATTAGAAGTATCACTGGTTATTGTTGATTTAAGTTTTGAGTCATCTATTGATTCATTATTACAAGTTATTGGAGATCCAACGACCTATAAAACAATCCAAATTATTAGTTTGACGTAATTAGAATGATAGGCAGATTTAAAATATGGTAACTTAGTATCCCATCCATACGTATCGATGACACTCACAAAAAATTAGGAACAAATGATTTTTCCATTTTTAATGAGGTGACTAACTGAAATAACTGTAAATTGGGTTAACTTAGAGAATATGATTATACCGATCACAAAGCGTTTCTCTACATTCTGAGTAAAATAACATTATCATTTCTCCATATATAATGAAAGACTATCATAGTTAAAGGGATCTTTGGAGATGTGTTTAATTTGTATGCCGTATTCTTCACAGACTGATCTCAATTGGGATGCTGTTGATAATTAGGGACCTTAGAACTGGCCAACAGTGAGCAGCCGCAATTCACAAGTATCTAATACGGGGCTTTTAGATCTTGAGTTGAATGTTTTGTCCACAAGAATTTGCGGTTTGATTTTTCACGGTGTAACTTTAACTTCAATCAATTAGTAATATAGCGTGACAATCACCGAATGACATTCGTGTTACCTACTTCCCTGTACAGTGCTGACAACTATGGAGATCAGTTTGTAATAAAAAACTGTTTTTTTATATTTCTTACTGACATCCATCTCTGTTAAGAAGCTACAACAGTCTGCCGTAGGCCAGCACAAAATATTCATGAACACTTTTCAACTCGCAACGAACTGAATTCGAAAAAAAGGCTCAACCGTTGAATTTTAAACTACAAAAATACACTTCTGGTTACGTTTAATACATTTCGACAGACTGATAGCTTTAAACGTTTAAATTATCCACTGGCGGACATTTCTACTCGAAAATATAATACGTTTTTGTCTCTCATCACAATTTCAGATCTTTTTTACAAAACAGAACCTTAACTCCGTCTCTTTCTGCATCTTTTTTTAACTTTCTCAAGGCTAATGGTATTGTAAGGATGAAATGTTTACAACATTTTCATTTGAATCAAAGCGAGTACGTTAAGTTTAAACAATGAAATTGTCATTTAGTGATTAGAAGTTTCAGCTTTAGTCGTACTCAAGGGTTCATAAACCATTTTCTAGTAGTGTAATGTAAAAAATGAACTTGAGTAGACCCATAACATTTTTCAATTGTAGTGGTTCTTCACTATTAAACATGTGGATCAAATGATTTTCGTGTTGACTAACTTCAGTCACTGAACATCAATGTATGGTGAAAATGTTGTGAAGTCACTTAGATTAGTAACTAAATCGATCAACTCTAGAGTTAGAATTTGATCAGTACTGATGACTAGACAAACATGACACTTATTATTTGGTGGTTATTCAGTATAATTAAGTTGATTATTTCATTAGAAGGATTATCGATTCAAATATCTACTTTAATTCATTGAATGAAATTAACCAACAACAACAACAACAGATCGATGAATATCATAACAGATTGATTATAATTAGTTTGTAATTTTAAGCTCTACAATAATTTCAGAAGGGGTTTTGTGGATATTATAGTGATTTTAATAGTTGAGATCATGAGTCAATTGAAGTTAGACCACCATGGAAAACTCGGAAGCAGAGGGCGGCCGTCTCGTCCTATTGTGGAACTCTTCATCAGTGCGAGTCCACGATCCCACCTCATGAGATTCAAACCCAGGACGTATGCTCAATAGTGACTGGCTTCAAGAGGTATGTCTTGGAGTTCTAGTGAGAAGTAATGACCAGTGGAGTTCAACCGGGTTTTTGTGAGATAGTAACTCAATGAAGATAATGGTGGATGTGTCCCTTAAATTCATGGATTAGGTGAAGTTAGACATTAACACCGTTGGATGCCGGCCAGTTCAGTGTTCCAGTGATTAAGCGCTTGCGCGCGAGACTGATAAGTCCTGGGTTCAAATCTCACGAGGCGGGGTCGTGGATGCGCACTGCTGTGTTTCTAGGTTTTCTATGGTGGTCTGACTTTAAATGACTCATGATCTCAACGATTAAAATCTTTACAATAATTATTACCTGTGAGGTTGACGACAATCGATTATGTGGTTTTTGTTGTTGCATAGGTAATAATTCTGCATAATTTATATCCATCGGTATTAATTTAGCATAATCCATAGCAAGATTTAAATCAAATTTATCTGTGTATTTCATTTCATATTGATCTAGTGTAACAGGCATATCAAATAATGGCCAATAATGTTTCGGTGTTGTAAATGTTTTCAATAGCTGATTATAATTATATGTACATGTTATCGGTAGTAGATGCGTAGATTGAATTAGACTACTGTTTGATACTGGTGGTGTATGATTTGATTTTGTCAATTGCTGATTACAGAGTAAATCACGTTCTGACCAAACTTGATGATGAAATAATTTAGTTCCACAATCCGATTTCCCAAGGGATTGAATTGGATTTCCAATATTGTATGGATATTTCTCGTTTGTTACATGTTTTGATGCTGAAAACATTTAGTAGGATGAAGAAATAGTTAGAAACAAGTGCATTCATGATGCAAATGCTTTGAACATTTATTCATTTATTATTGAAATATGACCGACGAATATGTCAGATATCTCTTTAAATATTTATTCAGCTCTTAGTAGTCTGATCTATGATCTAATACTAATAAAATTTCTCTAAAGTAGATAAACAAATAAAGATGACAAACTGATTAGGAAGCTCTACATTCTGAATAGTTACGTTTACAGTTTGGATCCATATCATACCTGTAATAACACTATGCCATTGGTTCCTTTTATGAATCCATTTTCGTTCCAGTAATAGTGGTCGAAATGGTTAACGTATTCAACTATTATACATGTTTGTCCAACATGGTGGCTTAGCAGGTAAATTTTTTATTATTGGGCTGTAGGTTCAAACCACTCTACTCATATTGATGATAGAAGCCTAGTAGTAATCACGACCTTTTAGCGTCAAGTACACAAGTCAGTATTTGGTCTCTAAGTTACTAACTATATATAAACAGCACTTATGAGTTACGGTGCCTTATTCAGAAATTTAGGATTTGGATTCTTAAATAATCATACCTATTGTTCTTACAGAATTCAGAATATCATCTAGACAACACTCGAAAATGAGGACGAGTATTGTTGGATCCTGTAAGAAACAAATATGTGAATTTTCTTAACAGAATAATACATTGAGCGGGTCATCAAAATTGCGTACTAAGTCAAAATAAAGTGTAGATGATCTATAGTAAATAAAAGTAGATCATTTAATCAGGTAGTGAAAACTATGCACCTGTAAACAGATTTCAACTATCCTTCAATATTCAAGATATCTGAGGATTACTGTTGCTATGTGATCTGTCTGTTTCATTTATTTACTCTAGGACAACGGAGTTTTTGTGATGTGCCCTAAAGGCTAAGTCAGGACATAAATCTTGTCAAACATTTACACAATTAAAGTATGGTCACATTTATTGAAGAGAATTATCATGTTGGATATTTGGATACCACTTGGTTTGGTGTAACTGAAATTTTACCATGAATTCATCTGCTTGAAACAGAAGTTGATAGTTATTCAAATATATTTATATTTGATCTTACTGATTGAGTTAGTTTTTATTTCTTTAACAACGTTTTGAAATCTAGTCTACACTGTATAATCTAGCTTTTGGTTCCTTAGAAATAATTTCTAGTTTTAGTCTGTACAGAATATAAGTCGAGACCTTATCTATTCATCAAAAACTAAGATTAGTGAAGAAGCATTTGAGCTTACTAATCAGTTGCTAAGTTTGTCGTGCACAGAACACTAAACCATTGATTTGTAATAGTGTAGAATCACATGCTAAGATGTACTCTTTATCTATTCACTAATCCTTTTATGAGAACAAATCAGTGTATCTAAAACGTTCATATGATAATCACCTATGACAACCATGTTGATAATTTGATTGTAGTTATGATCGTAAAGTTATCATAGATAAAATAAAACTCCGAAACCGATCGTTTTAGAGGTTTTGCAAATAAACTATTGAACTAATGAACTGTATTCACTATTGAATGACACGTGAGTACTTTTATTCACTCTAAATTATTACGTAACCCATAATTTATAGGACTACCAATTTTCGGAAGTTGTTTTGCGGAGATTTTTAGAAATTTCAATAGTTGAAATCATGAGTCAATTGAAGTTAGACCACCATTGAAAACCTGGAAGCACCGGATGGCCGTTTGGTCCTAGTATGGGACTCTAGTTCAGTTCAACCAGGTCTGTTGTGAGATATCAACTCACTAAAGACAATGGTGTACGTTGGCGCAACTTCGTGGATTGGTTGAAGTTAGACATTAACACCGTTAGCTGCCAGCTCAGTGGTCCAGTAGGTTAAGCGTCCGCGCACGAGACTGATAGGTCCTGGGTTGGAATCTGGTGGGGGGGGCGGAATCGTAGATGCGCTCTGCTGAGGAGTTCCACACTAGGACGAAACGGCCATCCAGTGCTTCCAGGTTTTCCATGGTGGTCTAGCTTCAATTGACTCATGATTTCAACTATTGATATTATCAATTTATTTGATCATATTGTAATGTCCATGGAAAGAAATTCTAACTATATAGAGGATAAATGTAAGATTACGTAATAGAACGAAATGAGATACCTGTTTCCTTATCATCAATTATTGTTTGTTTTAATTTTTTTAATCGTTTAATCATTCTTCGATTAATAATAATACTTGATACCATTGAACGAAATTTTTCAATCATATCACATTTATGTAACCATTTTGCCTTAGTAAATTCAACTAATTGAAATTTTGGTTCAAGAGGAACTTCTGATCCTGTAATGAAAGATTTCTTGAATGGTTCCACTGGACGATATGGACGAAATTCAGATAATATTTGATGATCTTTACTCAATTTGAAGTTAACTAATGAAGCTGGTATTGATAGCTGATATTTGCAAGTTTCCAAAACTTCTGGATGTGTACATTTTGTCTTGTTTGTTTTTTTCAAAATAATATAAAATGGTACATACAATTGAGTTTTCAATGAATACATATTGGTTATACAAACTAAAATAGATCTTAATCTAGTATATATACATTTTACCTTTGAATTCTGTATAGTCATCCATCGTGGTAGATCTGTCAATTTAGTAATTGAATGTTATACTTATTACAATGATTTCATTTATTGAGTAACCCTAGTCAGAGTACTCATCGAAAGTGAACATTCGTCAATAATTGTCCATTTGGAAACTCTCTACTACACTAGCTAAAATGTCGTCGAGATAGACGGTGTTTGAATATGTGCAATACATATTCATCGACCACCTCCTTCAAAAAGTGTTTTAGTTATGGTGACTTTGATTTTAGTATATCACTAATATAACCAAGTGAGTTATAAATTTTAATGTTAAAACATATTGAACACCATCCATTTGGATAATGAAAGCTTAAGCGGACTTTGTAGAGAGTGGCGAATAAATTAAGGAGGCTAGTGGAAATATTATCACGAAAAAACACAAAAAAGAACAGAGTCATAAACCCACTTTACATGTAACACTAATTGGGATTCAATTAACCGATATTATATTGAATAAGAATTATCTTGACTATTACTACTTACATTCCAGCTCCCATTAACATTTAGAGTAAACTAAGTTATTGAAATATAAATTATGGGATTCTATAAACATCGTTACAATAGATTATGGTTATTAGAATCTAAACGTAAGATGTGCATTTCCCCATTTATCAACTTAACATAATGTAGACAGAGTGTAAGTTGAGATAATGAGACTGGTTTTCAATATATTATCAGTGGTTATGTATTTAAAGAGAGAATGTGTTATAACTTGTGGCCTGTATGCTCTGTTAATGTATACTTAATGATACTGCCAATTAGAGAGCAGTGAATTATCGACAGAACCAATGATGCATAAAACCCTTGTGACCAGTCTAGATTACGTATCGGTCCTGCTTAGCCCAGTCAGTTATATCCAGAACACCAATCATTTATTTCAAGCATACTGGGTTTATATACCAACCAGACAGACCATATCGTACCATAAAATGGGAAATAACATTTGTACAAGAATTTCAATCGTTAAGATCATGAGTCAGTTGAAGCTAGACCACTATGAGAAACCTGGAAGCATTGAACAGCCGTTTCGTCCTATTGTGGGACTCCTTAGCAGTGTGCATCCACAACCTGGCCCCCTGCGAACGCAGGACCTACTGGTTTTGCGCGCGAGCACTTAACCACTAGACCAGTGAGACTTAACTAAATGTGACTGTGAATGTGGGAGGTAGTAATTAATGGACAGAGCATAATTCAAGAATGATAAATCGTAGAATAATAGTTCATAGGTCAAATAAATTTCGTAATAGGAGGGATATGAATATGAATAGTTCAGTTAGTTAACAAGTATACGATAAAAATCTACGTGTAGTATTGGTCTATAAATGGATCCCTGTAGTTACCATTCATTATGCTTATCGGGACATAACAGGATGAACTATTGAGCTCTCTCATTCATTATGATTATGTAAAAAAGTATTTACTATTCAAACATTCATCAAAAATAGTACAGTGTAAAAAATTACTTCAATTTACATAATATTGTTTCCATGCTAATTCACGTGAATCAAGTATTTTTACACGTTCTTCTGGTGATAATGGATTAGCACCTAATTTCGATTGCCATCTCACTTGATTACGTTGTTCATCAATAAGATTCTGATGTACCATTGATTCAAAAGTTAGTAACTAAGTAGTTACAAAATAAATGGAAACATTTTTATTTGTAAGAATAAATTAAACCAATAGAAATATGAATTTAATACTGAGAAGATTGTAATTTATAGTTGAAAATGCTATCACGAGTTCACTTAATCTGCGAACGAGGAACAAGACTCGATGGCCAAAGACCAGCAAGCTAGCTATTGATGCGTCCCAGCCCCACGAACTATAGGGAGAAAACCAAGCTTGGAATGAGAAGTATATTCTGCGAAACAGCCAGAACGAGCAAGCCCAACAGAAAATGCCTAACGAAACTTGCAAATTTTCAATATTGATAATGTATTGATAGAAAAAAAAGCATAAATTGAATTGAGTTACATTTGTACCGGTATTTGTGAACTGTTTTTTTTCAAGTTTGATAATATCTATCAAGAGCTTAAATGAAGTATTCCCTATAAGCTATTGGTCCAGAATGGTTAATAGTGGATTCAGATTGTTGATTGTTTATTCGGTTGTTGAAACTTATAACAAAAGCGAATAGCTTCCACAGAGTAAAATAGTTTGTATAATATGCATATAATTTGGAAAATAACACGTATTTAATTTATATTTGAAAGCTTTATCTTCTTTAAGCCGAATACAGATCAGGGAACACTGGATATCTACTTTGTGCTTGTTGTTGAAATACCCCTCAGAAGAAGAAAGCATCTATTCAATTCAGTCTGATTTTTTAATAATATTCCCTAAAGTACTTTTATTATTTATTTATTTATTTTAACACATAGATATTGGTACAAGGAGGCACCAAATACATATGCGCCACACAAATTTCATTCGATATGTGTGAGGGCTGTGATACTGCCCGGGTGCCCAAACCGAAGCAGGTGGATTTCTAAGGGGGCCACACCCGAGGTCTTCGACCTGAAGGTCTGATCCACAAGGCAGTGGAGCATCGTAAGGAGATGAAGTCCCATGGAAGCCGGTGACCAACAATTGGTTCATACGCTATTTGTTCCCGCAGGATACTGGAGCCCATGTGCACCATTGGTTTGGGATCCGGTCAAAGCGCCAGACATTTGCTTTTCGTCCTATAGTACTTTATACTGTGTTAAATATCATTTACAGAATAATAACAATAATTAGATATTTTTTCCATTCACATACTTTCTGTTGTCTAGTTAATCCTTCTGTTGTTGTGTTATTTCGTTGACTAGAAATGAGTTTTTCTTGACTGCCCAAAAGAAATTTCACTAAATGATGTGGACATGTAATTTCATATTTTGGGGTCTACAATACAAAAGTATAAAGAAAACATTTACCCAATGATAAGTATGTACAATTATTTGTCATTTATTGAAGAAGAAAAAAAGAATTATTGAAGAAAAGGATAAGTTCTTTGAAAACGTTTACGACATATCATAATATGTGTAATACCAAAACATTTTGATCATGTTCGTTCTGTTCTACTTTACTGCTGCAAAACGCAACCACTAAGAGTAAGAGATATTCTTAAGCTACCAGTATTTGATCACAGATGTCTGGGAATTATTGCTTGCAACTGCTGGGATCATCGAGTAAGTAATAGTGAGGTTAGATGTAGGGTACCAGGGAATGATGGTAAATCAGTTGATGAGGTTGCAAATCTTCATCGAATGAGATGGTTAGGCCATGTGTTGCGTATGCTTGAACACCGATTACCACGACGCACAATTCTGGAGACAATGGGAAGAAAGTTAAGGGCGACCTAACCAGAACGTGGCATCAATCATTCAAGTCACTAACTTATAGTCTGAGCCATCTTCGTAGATGCTAACTACTTGGTTGGCGTTCGCGTGACTATCGTAATCAATGGTTGGAGACTCTTGGTGACATGGCTCAGAATCGATCACAATGGCGTCGGTCTATACACTCTTCGTCTTCTCTTAAATAACTTTACACCTTCCTTTCTAATTCTTTCTTGCTGTACTATATCTTTATACACAAACATTCTTTTATATATTACTACCATTGAATTAACTACTTCTATGAATTCGATGTTCATGTTGTATTGCTAATGAGGTATGGCGACTTGGACCAATGCACATATGTGCCTGGTCCTACATTGTAGCTGACTGACTGACTGAACATAACAACATTTCTATGCACTAATATAATAACATACATAAGTTGATGGATTTATGGTTACACGCTAACAGACATTCCTATTTAATGTTTCACAGATAAAACACTATATTTAAAAGTTATAAGCATCTAGCACAAGCTAACTTGACGTACATTCGGTAGACAAGAAAAAATAATCTAAAAGAAAGATTTCAATGTGGTATTTATTTGTGGTGTATGCTTCTTATGTCGACAGACATAAGTAGTATGTAACACTAATCAGAAATGGAATGCCTGGTAGCAAAAATTTGAGAAGATTGAACTGAATAAAACAGATATGGAAACATAAAAGAATTGAGAATTGGAAGGGTCATGAAGGAAGTAAAGGACAATTGATGGAAGATTTGCAAATGAAGTATTTAATGTATGGTTTTCACATTTTACCAAAGAACTCTGTAATCTTGCGCTAAACAATAAATTGGTCTTCCCTACTTGGACGATCGTTCACTACACATATATGGACTATTAAATTTAACATGGTGATACAGAAACCTTACACTTTTGTATACATCTGTCCCATGTATCATTTTTCCCATAAACGATTTCAAAGCCAATCTGATGACTAAAACACCTATTTTAATTTCACTATTCACTATATGGAAATCAATTTTCAATGATGTGTTTGAATATTAGTGATGATAAATATATGAGGGTATGGGTCTTAGAGTTTCACTTTTCACTTGGTAAATATAACAAATTGATTTCTATCACTAAAGTAAACATAATCATTATTGAATGGATAGCTTATTGATTACTTCATCGGTAGTCAATTAATTTTACTGGCCGAATTCATGAGTCGATTCATGCTATACTACCATGGAAAATCTGAAAGCATTGGAGGGCCGTGACCAATGGAGTTTAACAAAATGTGTTGTAGAGGCAGTTACTCACCGAAGACAATGGTGGCCTGTGGCGAAAGTTCGTGGATTGGTTGAAGTTAGACATTAACACCGTTGGATTACGGTCCAGTGGTCTAGAGGTTAGGTGTTCGCGCGTGAGATCGAAGGTCTCGGGTTCAAACGGTATTGTGTTCAAGTCACAGGGTGAACGTCAATTCTGAGATGCAGGTACATTTAGCTGACGAGTCCTGAATAGGACTCTTCTAAGGATTTGCTTATTCATTAAGTTTGTTATGAATTTCCGGCTGACAGGTTGAAGTTAGGCATCATTCCTTTCACTTGTATTGAATTAAGATATGTAGTCGAACAACATAAGATAGCACATTATATTGATTTTATTCATACATCTACTACTCGTTTGACATGAACCGATGCTAAGCACTGCCTAGGAAAATCTCAACATATAGCGCTAAGGTTTTCATAATAAACGATCAGTTAATAGTAATCATTGTCTAATGCCATTAAATCTGGATTTAATCTTAGATTGTTATTGTGACACAGTAGATTGTTTTAAGTATCTGTCAATGTTTATTTGTTTTTAGATAATGATAAATGCATAGATTCTAAAATAACCAGAACTAACAACTATAGAATGAATATCTAGTTGGGCTATCAAACTACTGATCCTAAGAATCATCGAGTAATTCAGGCATTTTGAGAAGAGATAGGTTTCATTATATCTCATTAGATCTAAAACTCAAGTAGATTTGTAATTTAAAGAATTAACCTTAATTTTTTTCAGCATGGTAAAAAGATAAACCGCATTCCTAGAGTTGGAGAATATATGGAACTCAAAACAATTGTCAACCAACATCAAAATCAGAATCTTCAATACGAACGTCAAGACAGTTCTACTGTACGGAGGTGAAACTTCGAGAACTACCACAACATCATCTAAAAGGTACAAGTATTTATAAACAATTGTCTGCATAAGATACTTAATATTCATTGGCCACAGCCTACTATGGTAGAGAGCAAATTAACTTCCAGCTGAACAGAAAATTAGGGAAAAACGTTAGAAGTGGATAGAACATTCATTGTGGAAATCACCAAACTGCATCATGAGACAATCGCTAACTTGGAACCCTGATGGGAAACGAAAAAGTGGAAAGCTAAAGAACACACTACGTCGAGAATTCGAAGCACATATCAAAAGGATGAATGGGAACTGGAAAGTACTGCCAAGGACAGAGTTGTATGGAGAATGTTGATGGGAGGCCTATGGTTCTCGACGAGGAGTAACATGTGTAAGAACGTAAGTAAGTAGAAAGACAAAAAATTGTAAGGGAAGAATTCGAGATTATTTCAATGTAATAGCAACATAGTAAATTTTGTAACCAGACAAAACCGGGGATATATCAAAGAGACAAACCACTATAAGTATTCAATTAGTATTTATTACTTACATCTACTGTGATAATATTTCAAAGTATTCACTCACTTTTACACTTTTTATTATATCAGTCAGTCAGTAACAACTTAGAACTTCGTACGTACGTACATCAGTTCGAGTTGCCACACCACATTAGCACAGAGATGCAGTTGTCGATTCAAATCCCGTAGTGATAGATGTAGTAAAAGTATAAGCAGTAATCGAAAACATTAGGGCTTGAAGTAGTTATTCAAGGAGTATAATACAGTGAAATAAATTTGGAAGGAAAATAAGGGAAATGAAAAATTCGGAAGATTAGTATTTATTACTTACATCTACTGTGATCATATTTCAAAGTATTCACTCACTTTTATACTTTTTATTATTTGTGAGGAATATTTTGACTTTTTCATTCGTCGATTAGGTAAGCTTTGACTAATTTCACACTGATTTGTCTCCAGTAATTCTGAGAGATTTTCATCGTCATCATAACATGAATGAGATGAACTATGAAGAGAAAAAGAAAGTGACAGAAATAGTTCAATCGTAAAATGGATCCAGTTTTGATTCTCTATTAAATGATGTGAAAAAATACTACAAGAGAACTATTTTTTAAAAATTAAACCAGATAATGTTACTATGTTACTATGACGACTGCATCGATATAGCTCTTTTCATAAGCTTCATAAAACATTGGGATCGTGGCAAGCAGTTTAATTCAGATAGTGTACGTGTTTTATTCAATTTGAGACTCATCAACTTGGTATAACTTCATCATGAAGTTGACGTTTGCATCAAGGCTTGAATAGAATACAACATAATTCATTTGTTCAAACTGAATAGAACAAAAAGTATAATCTAGACTCCACTTCTAACCACAGCCCAGCTATTTTAGAGGTGCATTGATTTTTGTATAAGTTGTTTGAATCAGCCCATTGATTTTTACGACTGTAATTGATCAGTCTTTTTGACATATGTGCATCCTGTGCCGATTGACACGATATTGCCTTAAGTCACAAGCGTCTTTAAGCAGAGATGGATGGTGGCTGTTTGTGGAATCTAAGACGCATGCTTCACTCTATTTGGGACTTGTCAGTTGGATGTACCCACATCCTGATCAATTGCAGTCCTAAACATTAATGAGAAGATTCAAATAACTAATACAACAATGAATCGAACTTCACCTTCATCTACAAGCTAGTGGCTATCAGTACTCAGTAGTTAAGTAGATCACGTTATGGCATTTGATGCTAACGGTACTGGGTTTAAGTTCCTACATGAACATCAATTCTGGAATGCAGTTACATCCCAGTGATGGGTCCAATATAGGACGAAGCAAGAATCCTTGCTTGTACTGCTAGCCACCATCCATCTCTGCTTGTATTCTAATGATGTTTTATCAATAAAAAATGTTTTGAGAAATCAATGACAAGTTGTAGGTAAACACAGTAATGCACAAGATGAATTTATGAAAAACTGTGGGTTATGGAAACATACAGGGAGCATGAAGGATCATTCATTAAAACGTTTATCCTATACTCGTATAAAGTATTAAACTTTTTTTTAAATATTGTTCAGTAAACTCGAGTAATATTTTCTATGCTAATGTTTTCCTTATTACCACTAGTACTGTTACGATCTCTACTTCTTTGGAATTGGCTTTGATACTTTCATCTCTCTGTAGTAATGAGGTATGTTAGTAGGAAATAATACACACTTAAGCCAGTTTCTTCGTTACGTATAACTGACTAATTAACTAATATTTGTAGGTGTTTGCATTAAGATTGATCAGCCTCTGTGGCTATTTGTGTATCCTAAGCAAATTACGTCGATGAATACATGGCAATAGAGACTGAACAGTTGCACTCATTAACATTAGTGGTCAGAAATTATGAGCTCTCCCGAATAAGTGCATATTCCGCAAGCGGGATCGTGGATGCACACTATTGAAGAGTCACACAATGGGACGAAACTGCTGTCCAGTGCTTCCAGGTTTTTCATGGTGGTCTAGCTTCAATTGAGCCATGATCTCAACTATTGAAATTACTACAATCTCCACAAAACACATTCTAATACAAATGCATGTCTGTTGAACAAGTTAGAGGGTATCTAGAACCAGCAGCCTAGTGTAATGATATCTGAAATGGAACAAACGATTCAAGTCTATTGTAAAGAAACATCAAATGCAATCCTATCAAAAGTGGTTAAATCATTTATGTTAGTTAATTACAACAAATTAAATACCCCAATTCTTAGAACATACCTTTCTAATCCAGGTAATGCATTTCCAATAACTGTACAACATTTTGGTTGAAAATTAACTTGAGCAATATGTAATTCGAATTTTAATTCACATGTTGAATAGCTATTTGGTTGAAAATCAATTAACAATTCAGTGATTTGACCAGGATGTAAAACTCCTATTTAACATAAAACGAATTTAGATTAACTAAGGAGTGATTTTAAATGATAAGGGGATGTTATTCAAGTATAAATGTAGAACGACTTTTAGTTGCCATACCATATACTACTTAAACTGAAGAAACTTAATAATATGAGAAGAAAAGATTAAAAATAAGAACTTGATAGGAAACTAAACATTAGAGACACATATTTCAAAATAATCAGAAAGTGATGATTATTTTCTAAGTAATAAATGCTTCAACCAATTGATCTTATAAACGTTCAGGATCAAATCACCTACTTCACTACCCTCACCTAGGTCTTTAACATATCGTCATCATACACTTAGTACTTACGCTCTTAGGTAACTCTCATTTGTTATTTGTACAAATAGCCAGCTCAGCAGGAAACATAACTGAACTTATCTAGTAAGAAACAGTTTATGAAGTAAGTGCATGCGTACAAACTATCTTCCATAGGTTAATCAACAAATATTTTACTTGTTAACACAGTTTACAATACTTCATTTTCCCACCGCATTGAATCATCTGTATTTAACATAATTTATAATTTCAACAACAAAAAAATACTTCTCATAAAACATTATTCATGATCCATATAAAATAAAGAGACTGTGACTAGTAACGGTATTCAGGACTCGTGTTTTATCTTATTTGGGATTCATCGGATGAATGTATTCATCATTATAGAATGAATATGAGAAATCTTTGTACGCTTACACGTTTACATCCATTAATACTTGTTAAACTGTTATGTGAATCTGGAAGATAACTAGACAGGTTAAGGAAGTACTTTATGTAGAGAACTTTAGAAATAGACATAGGCTAAGAAATTACCATAAAAATTCCCATTACAAAAACGAAGTATTATCGGTTCATAAAGTGATTGGTTATTGGTCAAAATGCATGATGAAGAGTTCATTTTATGTTTGAACTACCTAAAATATGTAAAACTCTTGATAAGACTATTTTATCAGAATGGGGGTTCGCGTAGATTGTAGTAATTTTTTAATAGTTGAATTCATGACTTGATATAAGCTAAACCACCATGAAAAACCTGGGTTCGAGTCACACGTGTAAGATCGTGGATGTGCACTGTTGAGGATTCCCATACTAGCACGAAAAGATCGTCCAGTTCTTCAAGGTTTTCCATGGTGGTATAGTTTAAATCGACTGATGTATTCAACTATTATTATTATTTTAAATTAATTGCTAAAGGGTAGATACATTTATTTATTATTTTTTATATCTTGCACACATTCATGTCTATAAATATTCTGGTTGATATAAATCGTGGCGTAATCATACCCATTTTCCACTGAACTCGAATAATTTGTCTTTCTGATGGCTTTCCACTTTAAGTGAACCAGATTATCTCTAGATTTTGTTTATTCAATTTTCAGCAGTTACCAACCATAATAATTGGTAAAGTTTAAATCCATATTTTCTAAGTTATATTTTTACTGTGAATAAGCTGAAGTTATCATCAGAGTGGCCTTCCAGTAGTAGTAGTAGTAGTAGTAGTAGTAGTAGTAGTATTAGTAGTAGTAGTAGTAGTAGTAGTAGTAGTAGTAGTAGTAGTATTAGTAGTAGTAGTATTAGTAGCAGTAGTATTAGTAGTAGTAGTATTAGTAGTAGTAGTATTAGTAGTAGAAGTATTAGTAGTAGTAGTATTAGTAGTAGTAGTATTAGTAGTAGTAGTATTAGTAGTAGTAGTATTAGTAGTAGTAGTATTAGTAGTAGAAGTATTAGTAGTAGTGGTAATAGTAGTAGTAGTAGTAGTAGTATTAGTATTAGTAGTAGTAGTATTAGTAGTAGTAGTAGTAGTAGTAGTAGTATTAGTAGTAGTAGTAGTATTAGTAGTAGTAGTATTAGTAGTAGTAGTATTAGTAGTAGTAGTAGTATTAGTAGTAGTAGTAGTAGTGGCAGCCATCTTTGAACCTGTGGTACAGTGATTAAGAATGATACGCATAAATAAACATAACATAGCATAAATACTAAGTATGTAATTCAATAGAAACCTGCGATTAGTGCACTGTTTAGATAACGATATGTTGAATAAAATTTATGAAATATGAAACAAACTGTTAACCAGTGCGAATGATAACAATGATTACCTTTCACTGGTTGTATTGAGAAACTTGGATGGATGTGTATAATTTGAATTCGAAACTCAAAATCAACTGCCGAAGAAGACTTGATTGGGATATGATGGGTTTTTCTTGTTACATAATAGAGAACATATAGAGTAATAAAATGAAGTGTTATTTTAGGAAGGAAAAAATTAATCTATTAAATTATATAATACAGTTGATGAGGTTGCAGACCTTCATCAAATGAGATGGTTAGGCCATGTGTCACGTACGTCTGAATATCGTTTACCACGACGCGCAATGCTGACTAGTGTTGGAGATCGTTGGAAGGAAGTTAGGGTCGGCCAAATCAGAACATGGCATCAGTCACTTAAATCACTAACTTATATTCTGAGCCATCTTCGTAGATGCATACTATTTGGTTGGAGTTCGCGTGATTATCGTAATCAATGGTTAGAGAGTCTGGGTGACATGGCTCAGAATCGATCATAATGGCGTCGGTGTATACACTCTTCGTCTTCTCTTAAATAATTTTATATCTTTCTTTCTAATTCTTTCTTGCTGTATTATATCTTTATACACAAACATTCTTTTATATATTACTACCATTGAATTAACTACTTCTATGAATTCGATGTTCATGTTGTATTGCTAATGAGGTATGGCGACTTGGACCAATGCACATATGTGCCTGGTCCTACATTGTAGCTGGCTGACTGACTGACTAGGTGACCAGTCGTTTCGGAATATTTGTTGACTGAAATAGTCATTTTCAAATAATAGGAAGATATTTTAAAGTTAGAAGCCATAAGAATCGGGTTCTCCATCACAATTTATTTTGAAATTAGTTATGAGATAATGTATAATATCATGAATATTAAATCACCCTTGTACCCACTTTTTTTGAAATTAGTATAACGCCTACTAAATTGCATGTGAGTAGTGTAGTCTGATATTTTCAAGGACCATTATATTGATGCAGTCCTTTATTTAAACTAATTTAGGAATCACAACATTTATAAATGTAATGTAAATATATCGTGAAATTAGCACACCATTAATTATGCATACGTATATGGAGGTTTTAGGCTGGCATAGTTTTAATGGTTGAGTTCATAAATCAATTAAAGTTAGATCATCATGGAAAACTTGGAAGAACTGGACGGCCGTTTAGTCCTGGTAAGCAACTCTTCAAAAGTGACCATCCACGAACCCGCACGCGGGATTCGAACCCGTGACCTTCGGTCTCTTGGGAGAACGCTTAATTTGCAGACCGCTGAGCCGGCATCCAACGGTGTTAAAGTCTAACTTCAATCAATTCTTATTAAATATTTTCCAAGGAAATGCTTTAATTATGGATAGTCCAAAGAAAAACTGACTATAGCAGAAAGTAAAACAGTTTTGCATATACGATTTTTATTATATGATTTTTGTTCCCATGATTTAACCTACAGTGAAATTAACAAATGTTTTGAGGTTAGGCATATGGTAATAAAGTAATGATGATAAAGTGCTTGATGAGTTAGTGCATCTCCCTCGAGACATGTACAATATCTGCCTACCTCAACACGAAGTTTGGATTACTGTAGAAGATGCCGGATCCGAACGTGAGATTAATTCATGAAGTTTTAGACGAGTAGACTGAATCATGATTCAGATTACTTATTTGGGGTCCAAGTGACTATCATGACCAATGGTAAGAGGCTTGGAGTAACGTGGCTTACAACCATATAGTGATCTATATACATTCACTCTTTATCTTCCCTTAGTTTTACAATTCCCAAGTCCATTTCTAAACCTACTATTTTCTGCTACCATTGAAATTATTTCTGCCTTTATTACTCTGGGATTCGTCATTGTTATATCCGAACGAAGATTAAATCACGAGTAACTTCTGAGTCATATTCATTGACCAATATTATCTATATATTCTTATGGTATAACTATTCAACAATTAGATTATGTATATTTATATTCCTCTTATTATAAGCTTTATTTTGACCTATAATTTATTATTGTACGATTTACGGTTCTTAAGCTATGTTCAGTTTATTGACTACTGCCTCCCTTGTTCACAGCCACATTTGGCCAAATATTGTACAAATGTTATTTTCTATTTTATGGTACGTTGTGGTCTGTCTAGTTGATATATAAACCGAGTATGGTTGAAATAAATGATTCATATTGCAGAAGCTGGTGTTTGTGTTGTGGACTCAAGTGGACGGGCTAGGCAGACATAGGACCAAATAAGACGCTAGGCTGCTCATACCGGTCGGACGTCATTGGTTTGGCACAGTGCGGAGATTGTATAAGTCGCATCTTGATTGGTGGATAAGTCACGTGATAAAAAGCTGGACATAAAGTCATAACAGTCATAGTAATTTAATCTAAAAGTGATGTTGTGGTATAACAACTTGGACCGATACTCATGTTTCAGAGTTGGCATCGCATATAAATGATTAACATGAATTTCGCTAACAGTCATTCTTGTCATTTTCAATGATTTGAATTCTTTGAATGTTTAATTTACACACACATTTTTTTGCTTGTGGATCTAATTATAAAATCCTTTAACTAAAATAAAATGGCATGCCATCACATTAAAAACTTTATCTTCATGTAACGTTACCATTTCAGTTTTCTTATTTCAAAAAAAAATAATATTTTCCTCGTATCAGAAGGATAATTTGAGAACTTTGCATAATTAACTTGAATTGAGACATTTGTATGATTTTCAGATCGGTGGAAGCATCCATTTTTTTAATTAGGAATCAATCTTATAACAAGGTTAATATATTCAGTTATTTTGTCCAAGAAACTAAATGTATTCTGGATGTGTTTTTTTTTATTATTTGAATTTATTAGTTTCTTTGATTCAAATTTTAAGTTTGAAGTAAACTACGACTCACGGAAATTGTAAACTTGTTTCATTAGTGAAAGTCAATTTATATCGATTTCATTGTGCACATAACGTAGCCTTGATCCTGCATTTACTTTCACAAAATAATAAAGATGGACAATAGAATGCAGGACGTGCATTTCGTTCTATTTGGGACTGGTCAGCTGGATGTTCCTGGATCCTAGAGTTAATGTTCAATCCGGGACTCGAACCCAGTGTTGTTCACCTCAAACGCCATCGTGTTATCCACTTAGTTACTGAATACTGATAACCACCTGCTTGTGCAATGGGATGAAGTTTAAATTCACATGATGTTGTTTTACTTTTACCTACCCATTGTTATTTAGGACTGCAACTGATCAGGCTCTTGTTGGCGCACCCTGGATTCCACTGCTAGCCACTATCTATATTTGTATATAATGCTTGTGACTTGAGACAATATCTATGCAGTCCGTACAAGATGCACATATGCTAATAAAAAGCTGATCAGTTGCAGACCTTAACAACAATCGGAAGATACAAGCAAATAATACCAAGCGAATTTAATATTTACTATTGGTATTTATTCTTTTCTAATACTTTTATCTGCAGTCATTAAATGAATAGTTGGGTGAAAACTTTGAAGGCATAACTTTCACACTACTATTTCATCAAACTAGTGAAGATTTATTCAAGAGATTTTATAATCAAAATTCACGGTAACATGGAAGTTTAACCATTATTTTATAAAAACGTTTTATACGTTTGTATGAACTAGGTATTTCTTAGGATAAACTAATATTGATTTTGCACTTCTTCACATGTGTTGATCAAAGTTTCTTGAAAATATGGTGTATGCTACTGATGTCGATAGATATATGTTGTATGTATCATCAATCGAATGTGGAACGCCTAGAGGTAGACGGTTGAGAAAATCGTAGAGAAGAGGATGAGAACAGAGATTGATTGGTATGGAGGCAAAAGGACAGCAAAGCCTGAAACAATTGATGGGTATTTTGCAATGAAGGATTTGCTGTATCATTCCCAGATTTTACCAAGATATTCTGTAATGTTGTATTATAATACATTTGCTTGTCCCAACTTGTGTTCTAGTTTAATACAACATAACTTTATGAACAACAGTTTAGCCAAAAAAAGGCTAATGTTTGTCATTTTCTATAAACATGCTTGGAAACTAAGCAATGGTAAAGGAATTTTCGGTTTCCATATTATTGATGAATTTGTATTCTGGGAGCGTTAGCAAATTATTTAAATGCTCGGATTTAGTTTGATTTTAGTCCGAAAAATTTAGAGAATTTAAATAATATGCTATAAATAATGAGTTTTATTCATGTTAAGACATTGAATAATGTTGATTTGAATCAGAGTAAAAAGATTTGGATCCGTAAACAGACTACTTCATACACAAATAAGCTTTTACATTATAAACTGTATAGTTACATTTAATAATTGGTTATTAAGAAAACAGATGAAATGCATTAATAGCTAGAAAATATGCTCACTTTTTCCCAATATTTGTTGATGGAAATTCAATGAACTCTGGAAACTCGAAGTCGCCTATCACAGGATAAGCATAGATTGGAACGATTAACTGATTCTCATGATCCTTTCAGGTGAATACAAAACAAATTTGAAAAACAAGTTATATTGTGTATTATTAACAGTATAGGATCTTTTTGAGTTCAAAGGTATCGGATGTGAGGCAGTCGTCCGCTATAAACTATGGAATAAGGTCTCTTAATATCATAATTTGACTAAAGTTAGACATACACATCACTAGTATCTGACTCAGTTACTTAGCAGTTAGGTGTCTGCACATGAGATCAATGGTTGTGTGTTCAGTCCGCAGTGCTGATTAGTCTCATGATAAGACTAAACGTTGTCTAGTGCTTCTCAATATCCAGTCGGTGTCTAGCTTAGTTGATTTTTTATATCAGTGCGTTGTATTAATTTTGTCTGAGTTTTGTCTTACAGATAGGCGAATTAATTATAAGAAGTTTGATGCTAGTACTAGTAAACATTGACGACGAACTGTTGTAGTTGTGAAGATTTGTAGCTTAGGCGGATGATGAACTATTAGATATTACAATAAAAACTGACTTAAACTCATGGAGTGTAACTAAGTTAACTACTAGCAATCGTTATAATCTGAGAATTGTAGTGCCAGCTGTGAACTGAAGACATAGCACCAAATCAACCGATTATTATTGTCATCAGGCAATACATCGTTATCTCAACAAAATATTACGTTATTTATCATATTTCAGATAAAATATTGACAATTAGTTTAACTGAAGCGGGTACGTTGTTTCAAGTAGCTAAACGGCTTTTTGTCCTGTTGACGTGAATCAGTTTTAATAGATTCTAGTGTATAAATAAAGCATCATACAGTTTGTATAACCCGGGGTACTTTGGTCCTAAAATCCATGGATCCATTGACTGATGGACTTGACCTTTTAGGTAGATGAAGAATCCAAATGACTAACAGAACTGATTGTTGGAAATATTGGATAATGTGCCTCAAAAATGATCTCAATGGTGTAAGTGAGTCTATCCTTTGGGTTAAAGTACTTGTATTTTTAATTTCATAAGCTCATTCTTACTTACAGAAACATATTTTCTATAACTGATGTTTTCCATCATTATTTGTATTACTGTTATTGCTACGACTACTACTCACACTACTACTGCTGATGCATTTACTATCCTGATTGCTCTGCAGTTCTTTCCAATAATCTTGCTTGACTATACTGATGGGCTGTGTCAGCTTAAAGTAATTTACTTATACGGCAGTTTTTATGTTGATTATGATTAACTGGCCGACTGATTTCTGCTGCAATATTCTGCATTACAACTAATCAAATTATAATGTAGATGCATTAAATTGTTTCTCATTGTAATCAGTCATAAACTTTGATTGGCACAGATAAACACAAGTGGATTTCATCAAAAATTGACTAAAAAGCGTGGTCATTTTATGAAACGTTTCTATAAATGTATAACGAGGTCCTTCATTGTAAAAAATATATTATTTGATCACATTTTGCAGCGGAAAGCATCATTAATAGGAAGTAACGTGTAGTTGAATGTAACAAAGTTAAAATGAATATGTTCATTAAAGAACAATTATAAATATATGCTTACTTCAGTATGCACACGTATACAGTCTTCATAGTAACTTGGCTTATCAGGGAAAAATATCAGGCGGCACGTAATACTATAACCAGGTACCAAACACTTCTAAAATCAACATAAAGACAAGAGAAACAAAACCGGTCTACTATTGACGCATCTCTCAAGAAAATGTACCGGTCTTAAATAAAAATATCTACATATTCATAAAGTGAACTCTAATAAAGCTTATAGGAATCTTTATTGCTTTTTATTCAACTTGTCAGAATAAGTTAAAGAATCAAACCTCAGTTAAATTCGTTTGAATCACATACAGCTTGTGCAATTCCACTCAAAGTGTCTGTAAGCGCTCAAGGTATACGCTACAAATGTAATTACCTCCACTTTGGACTAGAAAATGATTATGTCATAGGAAACGTACGAGTTCATATCAAGCATGCAATATTAGATATGCAACTTTAGCTATACAGCAGTATATATCAGATAACAATATTTGTTTTTAATTAACCATAAGCATTCCATTTCACTATACGATAAATTACTACGTCTCTTTATTGTTGTCATAGATTTTCCCTACTTTTTACGTTTCATGTATCTTCATATCTAAACCTGTCATTTTGATTTTACAACTTTCGATCTGTAAACTTAATTGGCTTATTTTCGTTGAAACAAAGCCTTACATTGTGCCAAATAATATCTTGTAAAAATATTCGCAATGATACTGTAAAACGCTATCTTAGAGCTAAAACTGTAGATACACTGCGGTGACATAATGGCGAAATTATACCGGACAGGAACAGTACATGCACTTGACATTGATAACTTGATGACATATTTTGCACTCTTAATGAAGAAAACACACGTTAAAACAGGTTCTAGAATGTGCGTGGCCAGTGCGTAGTCATTTCGTATGTAACTGTAAAGAAATCATATTTGAAAGAGACTACTTTTTGTTTACATATTAAATTAAGGGCGAAAATTTAAAAAAATAATAGACACTGCAATGCAATACTTGCTAATGGGTTTTGTATGTTATAGCCACTTTGCAGAGACTTCAAAATTTTGAAAGGCTGTTGTAGGTCAAGATTTGAGTCTTTATTTGCAATAATGAACGACTAACACGTCCTACCCTGATAAGCTATATTGATCACAGTGGTGAATAATTTCAGTGAGCCACGGACTCTCCAGGGAACTATGCACAGAATTCATTAAGATAATATTAACATAATATTCTTGTTAATGAAGACTGAGTGTCCAGACTATATATAATTGACAAACCAATGAGACTTAGGATAGCAAGTCCTGGATTTCCAAGCGAAATTCACTCAATTGTGTGTCTAAAGAGCAAAGGTCGTCCATTGTCCTACCCCAAAACTTCAATAGATAAGAAACAGGTAGGGTGGTCTCTTTCAGCAGACTATGCTAGTTAGAAGCCAGAGTTATTTTCAAAAAAGGAGAACAAGCATTAGCCTTTTAAGCTGCAAACAGTCAGAATGGTTTGTAAAATATATTGAACAGATCGAGATAAAGTTCCAAACAGTTAAAAGGAATCCCTAGCATTTTAAAGACTTACCGGCTGTTTATACGACAGTCGAAAGTACTTGGTATCTGGAGGCAAAATGTGTAAACGTGTCACGCGGTCAGATATATTTTTTAATTCAAATTGTTTCATTATTCCAGACTTTTGAGACCGAAAACTAATATTATCAAAATATATTTCTGCTGGTTCAACGGCAATGAATTTATTACACCCCATCTTCCAAAAAATTTCTTCAAAAATGCAAGACAAATCATGTGAACTGAAATTACTAACCTGTGTTCAAAAGGTGATTTGGGGGCGGCTCACATTTGTAATCTTCAACTATTCTTTCACTAATTTCTACCATGTTGAAACTGACGAAAGTAGTAAGTACAAGGTTCACGTCAGAAATTATGACAAGCAAGTAAAATCTAAAAGTGGTTCAAAGGTGATCATCTGATCACCAACTTTAGAAATGTTTAGTACTAAGATTCAGAAAATAAGAGAGCGTATGCTGATAATGTCGATAAATGTCCAACTGAAATCATGATTGTGAGTGATCTGCAATGAGACAAAATGTTTGACACCATAACAATAAACTGTTGATAGGTTTGCATTTAGTTTGGAATCAGATTGCGTGTTGTGGGTTGTGTAGAAAAACGTATTTGTCTTAAGCTGAAGAAGAAAAGCATAAGGGGAACAGTAACAAGACAAATCAAAAATATCAGTGTGAACGGATGTCTTATGATGAGAGCTTGAAATAAGTATAACCTAGCTATCTAAAGATAAATTTGTTAGAAAAGTATTTTGAATGTGTATATTTCAAAATTGCGGTGTAACAGTTGTTATGACTGTAAGGTCAAATTCAACATGTCCAATATCTGATTTGTGTAAACTGATTTTCTTCATACCGTTAAGCAAGTAACTGTGTTATTACCATGCATGCTACTCAATGAGTCCAAAGAAAAAAATATGACACAATGTAGTGACCAAGTGCGCTGGACAATCTCATGGAGGAGAAGAATAATAGGAAAATAGAGAATCAGCATTCAATACATTTATGTGAAATACTAACATCTGATGTATCCAACATCTCAAATCTTTGCATGAATTTGCATAACAAGGATTGATTTCTCAGAGATTGCTTCTTGTTTCTAATGTACCGATTTGAATGGTTGATAATATTCAATAATTTTTAGTCTGTCGATTGTGTCAGTTTGTGAGGATCGTATTATTTTAACGGTTTAATTCACGAATCGATCTAAGCTAGAGCACCATTGAAAACCTGGAAGCACTGGACGACTGTTACGTCCAAGACTTCTCAGTAGTGCAAATCCTTGTTCTCAGATACAGGACTCGAACTCAGGAACTTCGATCTGGCACACGAACATATAATTCCGGACCACTGAGTCGGCACCCAACGATTTTATGCTGCAATTTCGACAAATGATCTTGCGCAACCCTTCATCCCATGTCCAAGTAGGAAGCCATGACCAGTAGATTTCAATCAGTGACGAATGTATGACAGCTATTCAGCGCCCAACGAGAGCCTTCTCACTTATTGTATATTCGAGCTCAAGAATCGTGTGGTTGGAAACCGATGTCACTATATATATCGGAAGCAGTTTTAAGAGGATAGAAATAAAAGGCAGATGTTTTTAACTTATTTGCATTGTTACAGACCGCGTGACATATTTGAATTTTGATCTTAACTATTACTCTGGTCATAACATTAAGTCACTTATTAATCCGACGAATGGTTGCCGGAAAGCAAATCTAGTAATTAGTACAATCGTTCTTGTTCCCTAGCGGCAGAATAGTATTACAAAGTTTGCTTACTGTGCTAACAGGTCAATCATTATCACTGTTAAGAGATGCAGATGGAAATGATCTGTTACACGGAGACCAGAATTTTATAGTTCAATGGGATCTAGCAATTTCATATATATATATATATATATATATATATATATATATATATCACTTTTAAGCTGTCGAGAGAAATGTTTGACCAAACCACATGTTCTGATGCCCGAAAATCGCGACAACGCTGGCTATGTGTTCTAATTATTTTCTTTACTGATAAATAGTCTGTCCTAATATGCTTGTGCTGCATCTGTAAATCATATGCAAAGTCAATAGGTACATAATTACACAAGCATCAATCGATCGCTTGCTCAAATTTGGTATACGGCTTCATCTTCTTTCTTTACATTATTATTTCCATGTTACATCAATAAATATGATGCGCTGTCAATTTTGAATGCTACATATATCATTGTCTCCCCATGTTCCTTTTTTTAGTCTGCATTATCACGATAGATGTCTTTATAAACATTTATATTTACGCCTCAATAGTTTGAACAATATCTTCTCCAATCACATGGAACCAGCCCGAAAAACGGTAGTTAGACGTTTCGTAAATGTCGTCAAAACTCTTGTCTCTGATTGTTCTTGCAATCCAAAATAAAATGACTTTTTATTTACGAATGCGGCGTCTTTGAAAAACCGTATTATCGCTTCCCAAAGGTTCAAAGGATTGAAGCATAAACAAAAGAAAGAAAGCTAAAGGGAATTTTAACAAGTTTAGTATTTTAATATTTTATCTAACCAATCTGCAACGCACCTTCGTCTAGATTTTTCTGATTTGATTCAGACTAGACTAATTTCTAAACTATGAGCTTTGCAGTAGCTTGATTACCTGAATTGCACCATCACTTCAACATACGAATTTGATTGTGGATTGAACGTGTAACAGCTTAGGTTGGTTGGTTAAGAGTTGACCCCAAACAACCAAGCATATGCCAAAACAGTATTGTTCAAGTATTCATTCACTTCCTTATTTTGTATAAGCGTTATATTCCCTAATATCTTATATTGAATGTTGAGAGCCTTTGTTTGTCTGAACAGATAATCCAACGCTCCACTGTGACTGCGCGAAGATCGAAATAAAGGCCTATTCACTACTTCTCTGGTTTCTTCTATCAATAGCACGAGGGTTACCTAAAGGCACGAAAAACGCTCTGAATTCAGTTATGATGAGATATAAATGACAACCTTCAATACCGGAAGCAAATGTTGGGACGTAATTTGAAAGTGGTTGTAGTTTTCAGAAGAAATTTTGTCCCAAAACTACCCTACATAACACCAGCTTTCCATTTTGATTTAGCTAATAAGTAAATTGATTTATTTTTAAATAATGTTTTTAAAGGCGCTTACAAAATGCTGACGACTTTTTGATAAGCCTCGTTTAAATTAGGTGTAATATCAAAACTAATCTATCTGTTTAGGAAGCAATGTCAAAACAATCTATCGTTGCATAATTATAGTTTACTTTATTCGGATTTACCAGCTGACTTTATCATTGTTAACTTAAAGATTTTACCGAAGCTCCCATAATACTCAGGTTATTACTAGTCAGTAAACATACTTCTTGAATTATGAAGGTGGGATTATCTTTAAATTAAGTATTTTTGTGGCATATTTATTTGATCGGTTTGCTTTGACTTTGAAATTTTGGGGTAATCTAAGACACTTTTCCAAATCATGTGAGTTCCGTTAAACGAATAACATAGGTAGACAGAAAAGCGAAATTCCGACCGGTTGTTCTACATGTGAATGTTTTCTCTACATAAATCTCATAGATGTGAGAATAAAAATCCCACGTTGTCAGTATAAATTCATTCGTTGTACGTCTTTTCGTCACATTCATTTGGATTGATCACTTTAGACCAGATAAAACTTTAATCCGTGATGTTTCGCCCTAATATATTCATTTGTATCTTCTATTATTGATGAGCTTTATCTGAACTCCTTGACACTTTCTCCTACTTTATGTCAACCAATCTCCATAACACTTATCGTTTTTGTCAGTCTGTCCTTATAAATACGATAATTAATTCCATTGAATATTTACCATGATACCAGAATCAAATACTACCCTGGTTTCACTGCCTCTAACACAATTTGATTTACTTAAGGTGGGGTAAATTTCACACGCACTGCAAGTTGACTTGCAAGTGACAGTCGTATTACACACGATTAATTAGAATCATTGATCGGCCGATACAATACATTAAAACGCATAAAAATATTTCTGATTGTAGGTTAACCAACAGGATTCACTCAACAAACAATCTCGTTTTATGATGTTAGAATAATGACAGGGTAGTAGTGTGGTGTGTGCTACTGATGTTGACAGATATAAGGAGTATGTATCATCAATCGAATGTGAAATATCTGGCAGCAGAAGGTTAAGAAGAGCAAAGAAAAGAGAACGAGAACAGAGAATGATTGCTGTGGAAATTAAGGAGCAATGAAGCCTGAAACGATTGATTGACACTTTTCAAATGAATTATTTACTGTATGATCCTCAGATTTCCCTAAGAAGTTTTGTAATTTTGTGTTCATGTACATTCAATCGTCTCAACTTGTGTTCCTTTTCACTACAGTAGTAGCAACAGTAATTTCCTTTAACGTTTATTAACAAGAAATCTTACTTCGAAGAGAAAATTATCCACAAATGGTGGTATCGTTCATTCGTTTTTCTGTATTTATTAAGTCATGTGTAGGAATGTTATATTTATTCATCTATTTTAAAAACCTATTAAGTTCTCAATAAAGTTTAGTATAGCGACTTATTTTATTAAATTGAATATGAAAGTGCTTCATTTCACCGTAAGACACAAAGTACTAGTCCATATTCTTACTTAGTTTCGTATGAGTGAAGTAAGATTGATTTCATAATTAAGCAAATAAGACTGATGTTGTAGACGGTTAATTGTTATCTTGAGTTGACTAAAGTTGAAAATATGAATCAATGGAATCCAGATCAGTGGTTTCAAAGTCTGGAGTTTTCAAATTACATTTCTGAAACAATGATAGGTGTGTATATCTAGAAAATTCCATATACACTTAAAATCACTAATATAATGGTAGTGTGGTGTGGGTTACTTATATCTACATAAGTATTATATTACGGTGGTCAGGCATAGAATGCATTTCAGTAGAAGATCGATATGGAAGGAACGGGAACGAAACGCAATTGGTATGAAAATGCATGAACAATGAAATCTGAAGCAATCGACTGATATTTGCAAAAGGAACAGTTGCGTTTGAGACAATGGACTGATATTGTGCAAATTAATTATTTACTATATTGTTCTCAGATTTTAGTGAGATGCTCTATAATTTCGTGTCAAATACATTCGATTTTCCCCGCTCATTTTCTTGTTCACTTCAATAGTACTTGAATTCATATCAATCAAAGATGAAATTAATTTCAAAGAACAGGATTTATCTGATCTTTTGGTTAGATTTTCTAATAATAATTAAGTAAACCGTTCAAGTGTTACACATGCTTGCAGTAATTCTAATCCATTGGAATGTTATTTCTCTTCAGTAGTTGTTTCTTGAGGTAATCTAAACTTGTACATTTCAGAGGTGTTATGTTGTTTGATTTCCGTTTCATAATCTTTCAACATTAAATTACTAGAGTAAAAAGAAAATTTAAAAAAGATGTTACGTAACAGACAAAAATTTGCCTAATCATTGTGATATTACAATGAATTATGATTGTGAATTCATATTCGTGTGCTGTTTCATCAGTGAGATGTATGTTTTGAATATGGAATCAAATACACATGAACCGGTATATTATTTCTAATCCTATGTCCTTGTAACAACAGCATACAATTGCATAAAACTGGACGCGTATAGTTAATCACTGAGATTTGAAGTCAAGTGACTTTGGTTTAAAGGTAGTCAGATTGAATTCATCTTATTACGAGTACAATCAATAAATTTTGGCTTGAACCATATGAGCGAATACTATGTCGGTAACTGTGACTAATAACACTATAATTTTGGTGGAGTTTTGTACTTTGAGCTGGATGGTTTGGTCTTGGAGCTTTCAATGTTCTTCTGAACGAAATCATTAGTACAAACTTCAGGTAGAAGTGAAGTGTTCGATTTCAATGTGCTTGTTGAAATCGATCCAATCTATCAACCAATCAGAAAGATTGTGGACAAATATTGGACGAAGAATCAAATCACTTTGAGATACAATCAAAATAAAGAAGTAGACAACGACAGATTAAAGGTCAACAATAACCAATTTAGATCGAGGTCAACACGAAAATTTGCAATTTATATGTGGAAAAATTTGAACCATTCACTTCTATCTGAAGTTTGTGCTGATGATGTCGTTCAGAAGAACGATGAAAGCTCCACAACAGAAACATCCAACTCAGAGAACAAAACTCAACCAAAATCATTCACTTGAGCTACAAATTTTGCCCACCATCTCAACAATAAAATTTCTTTAGGCAACTGCAAATGTTAAACCAGTTTTCAGTCTTCACGACAAATAGAATCATTTTATATAACGATTTTTAGAGTTAAATTGTAAGAAATACATGTTAATGTTCTTGCATAATCATCCTACAAATTTGAGATTTTACACTGTGCACTAGTATCAATGCTTCTTTTATTCTTTATTGATGAACTGTTGGATAGTCAAAGTCTGTCTGGCCTTATGTATTAATGGAACTTGTTAATTCTGAATCCGTATCCCGCGCTTTTTTGAAATGCAAACATAAAAATTGGTATATATATTGCAACACTGTATTCCTAAGTATACATCAAAGGCTTCGGTTGATTGTTCGTTTTGTTGTGATTAGAACAATTGCGTATGTTTTCCACAGTTGTATAAATTTAGTAAGTAAATCCCAGAAATGATAAAAGATAATTGCAGATAATTTCAAGTAAATCTATGCTAGACGTGGTCGATTTCATTTGTAGCTTTTATCTAGTTATGTACGTTAAAAGACATTGTACAATCAGTAAGATATTAAGGATGATAATGCTAGCAATTTTATCAATCAACTGTCTAAAAGTTGGGCACCCGCGCAAGAGACTGAAGGTCCTCGGTTCGAATCATGCATGCGAGATCGTAGAGAAGTTTCATACATTGGCGAAACGGTCTCCCAATGCTTACAGGTTTTCAATGGTCGTCTAGATAATAATACACAACTAGGTGTATAATCAAGCAGTTGATCATTTAACAATAAATAATTGTTGTTTAAATGAATTTATAATGTGTTTCATTGTTCAATACTATTCACATATACACACACATACAGTTAGAACAATAAAGTACTTACTCAAATGCCCATAGCAATTTCCTGAAGGCATTCAATAAATGAATAAATCAAAGAAAGAATGGTTGTTATCAGTGATTTTGCCTAATTTTATCATATTGTTTCACCTTTACAAACTTATTGAGATATTTCAGGAGCAATTATATCATGTTATTTAATACTTTTAAGTTGCATTTAGTTAAGTCATTTCAACATGAAAGTGAATATACACATACACATACACAACAATCGAAGTCAATCTTCAGATGTTATTTGTCCTGTTTAGATGCTTGATTAGCCTAGTTGTATAGTACTGAACTTATCATTGAAACTTTACCAATTGTACGTTTCAGTTTGTAAATGTGTATGACAAGATTGTTTGAATATGATTCCATACTCTGCTTTCAATCATTGATTCTCTTCGTGCATCTTTTGGATTTTGTTTCTTAATTTCAATTTGTCATTGATCATAATCAATTGTATAAACTACCGTGACTGTGTAGCGTGGCGTCGAGTCGCGGTTGACTATGAACACCGCTACAAAGAAACACGTGCCAAGTAGATCAGAAGGCGAAGGTCGAACGTAACCAAACAAATCCATAAGATCCCCGAGAAGCCAAATATCAGAAGACAGTTAATGGACCAAATCGAGATATATTCGCTGGCGATCTCGTGGCATCGAAAGGATACCGAGATCGTGCCAGGATACAAGCTTGGTTACAGAACGTAACCGAATTCGCGCGAAGTTACAATCAAAGTGTGGGAATAAGAATGGAAGTACAATATAGCTGTCATTAGCACAGTCAAACAAAAGCACGTTAAAACAAACACTGGTACAGTTGGTTATAAAAATAATTGTTTTTATTAAACCAGTCGTGTTCTCGTGATAAATGTGAGTCACTACAACTGTTACACCGAAGTTTTATAAACCATACCATATCATGAATCTACAGTGAATTAAGCTTTTACTGGAAGCTGTTTGTTTTCTTAAACACAAATATTTGTATACCTCGATCTTTTAAAATGCAAACATAAGAATTAGTATATATATATTGCAACAGTGTAGTCCCAAATACTACGAAAGGCGCGTCCTGGATTCCACTGCTAGCCACTAACTATCTTTGCTTAACAAACTTGTAACTTAAAGCTATACCAAGGTAATCCGCCCAGGATGCATATATGCCAACATGAGACTGATCAATTGCAGTCCTAAATAACAATGGGAAGATATAATTAAAACAACATCAAGTAAACAAATAGTTGTACTATTGTAGTTAACGAACACTCTAATGGGAAGACCAATTTATTGTTTAATACAAAATTATGGAATGTCTTCGTAACAATAAAAACCATACATTGAATACTTCATTCGCATATCTCTCATCAATTGTCTCTTACAAACTTCATCATTCCTTCATTCTTGCTGTTATAAAAAATACTCTCTGTTTGTGTTCCTTTTCTCTTCAGTTTGATCTTTTTAATCTTCTGCTGTCAGATATTTCACTTCTGATTGGTGTTACATACTACTTATATTTGTCCACATAAGTAGCATACACCACACTATGACAAAACCATCATTCATTGTCATCGATAAACAATTAATTCAATAGATTAATGATATCATACTTACTAATGAGACCTATTATTAACTTCAAATAGAGTTTTGGATGCCAACTAGTTACCAGTGATTTTCAGTAATATTTGACTTGAGAGGTCGTTAAACTTACTCATAATATACAGTTATCATTTATATGTTTAACATAAATGTTTTTAGCTCATATGTGATTATTCTTCGAACAACAGGAACTTATCAATATTGATTTGGATAGATTATGTAATATGGAACATACTTATGTTTCTTAGATTAAACTTACTTAACGACATATTGTATAAATCTTTAAATAAATAGAAATGGTGAGACTATAATTTATGAACGAACCAATTAGGTCTTGGATTTTGGTGCGAAATTCATTCATCTATTTTACTAAATAATATTTTCTCCTTTTAGCCTTCGTCAGTTCGTGATAAAAACCCTGAATCTAATTCATAACCTTAACTATCAAATGTAAATCATAATTCTAATTGCTGACACTGGTTTATAGCCTTTATTTAGTCTTAGTTATTAGGTGGACACACTCATGATCACTTTAGCGTTGCTCAAAGGTCCTCCATAAATTTTAGTCTCATCGAAGAAACTGTATTGATTAAGGAATTTCTTATTAATGGAAGTAATGACTAAGATACAACATATGCAGTCGTCCCAGTCAAAAAGTCAGTAAATAAATGTTACTTAATGACTTCATAACTCTTTGAACTTTGCTCATTAATTTGATCTAACAGACAAGACAATGTAAACTGTGAGCTACTTCTGCCATTTGAAGCATCAGTCAAACTAAAAATATTAAACTCATTTCATACTTTGCTTTACACTGTATTATATAGTGCATAATCTACATGTCATAAAAAAAGTTCGAACTATTGACTTTCGTATAGTAATCTAGATAATGAGATTCCTTATGAGTGACTTGATACTATCTTACTGAATAGAATGGATTCAGATCTCGTATTATATGCTTCGGGTTCTAATGACTTCCCACGTATTCAACTAAGATTTTCAACAACAACAACAAAAACTAAGATGAAACAGCTGACTAATATCTTTTCAGTTTCAAATAGTTATTTGTCTGAAGTCATTTGATGATTAAAACTTACTCAAGGTGGGTTTTCAATTTGGATAGATCTACATTCAATCACATGGTCAACCTAACAATCAATTCTATGTTGTTATGTAATACAGAATAAACAGTATTTATAAAAGTTAAACATTCATATTATCTTTAACTATGTATTTTATTTACTTTGAAAATGTAAGACCTTCTCTAAATGTTAAATATATTTGTACAAAAGAAAGGTGTTATCACATGTTAATTAAACAAAGAAAATGCAAATAGAAACCTCTAGAAAGAAAAAAAGCATAGATCGATGTTGTGCTTAGATACAGTACTCTGTAAGTCTGAAATAAAAGGATTTGTCTTGTTATATTTATCCAGTAAGAATTATCGGTATTAATCTGTTGATCTATGTAGTTAAAAGAGCTAAACACATTCGAAATTCGATCATTTCTGTTCAGTTGAATTCACGAACCAATCTAAGCTAGACCAACATTGAAAATCTGGAGGCACTGAACAACCGTTTCGTCTTAGTATGGAGCTCCTCAGCAGTACGTGTCCACGATCCCGCACCAAAGGGATTCGAACCCAGGGCCTTCAGTCTCGTGGGCAAACGTTTAGTCTCCAAACCACTGATTCGGCATCAAACGGTGTTAATGTCTAGCTTTAATCAATCCACGATCTTGTGCCACCGTCCAGCATTGTCTTCTGTGAGTGACTGCCCCTACAACAGACACGGTTGAACTCCACTGATCATGACTTTTCACTAGAACTCACTGAAGACAAGTTAGACTGGAGGCCCTGGGTTCAAGTTCCTTTGGTGCAGGATCGTGGATGCGTGCTGCTGGGGAGTCCCACACTAGGAAGAAAGGATTGTTCAGTGCTCCCAGGTTTTTAATCGTGGTCTAACATTCACCTATTCATGATATCAAATGATATTCTTATTTAGTAAAATACAATAATTAATTTGGGAATGTTCATTGTTGATCATCTTCAAAGTATTCAAAAACATTCTTTTATTGTTTAAACTTACAATTTCACTTCAGGATTATCACTAAAATAATAGTCAAGACATTTTTTATTTAATATTCAAGAATAGATTTTGTAACCAATTAATATATCAGAAGAAATTTATGGATGTTACCCTTGAAATCAAATTTTAATTTGCTGTGACAAACATATAAGTTCTTATAAGGTTGTTTGTATGAAGATAATATCGACGTTTATCATGGATTGATCATTCATTTATTAACATTTCTGAACTCATAATCAAACAACTAATAATCCGTAGAAACTATCACTGAAATCATTGATTAATATAGATATGTTCCGGCTGACTAACGAATTTTAAATAATTGCATCACATCTATTGATAGAACAACCACTGAAAATTAGAAAGAAATAGATAGTTATTTCATCTTAGGGTGAGATTCTTTCACAGTATCCATTCTCATTCATACAAGTGACTCTCAAACAGCTTTTAACACTTAGATTATTTAGCCTACATTTATTGGTTAACATTTCAACCAGTTGGCTATACTGTGCAATAATTTTTCAGTGGAAAACAAAACGTTTCACTTGAATCCTTAAATGTTAGATCTATTAATGTATTATAGCAATTGTCCTTTACATAATTTTGTAATTGGATTAGTAACTATTCGTATATCTTAGTATTGTTGTCATGTCTGTATGGGCATTTGTGCTTGATCACATGTGATGCTTACTTACTTACGACTGCTACTCCTAATGGAGCATAGGCCGCCGACCAGCATTCGCCAACTCACTCTGTCCTGGGCCTTCCTTTCTAATTCCATCCAATTCTTGTTCATTTTTCTCATGTCTATCTCCATTTCCCGGCGTAATGTGTTCTTTGGTCTTCCTCTTTTCCTTTGGCCTTGAGGATTCCATGTGAGGGCTTGTTTTGTGACACAATTGGGTGCTTTGCCTCAATGTGTGTCCTATCCATTTGTGATAGCCTACCTAATATTCCTTTTTCTAGCTTGATTGTTGGTTGCTTAAGTCTCGTGATGAAACATTAGCTTCCCCATAAATAGCTATACTTGAAACTTAATAATTCAGATGAGTCTTTATTCAGTACTGTTTTCGCTCGCCCGCATTAGCGATTTCGCTCGATTTCGCTTGATGTGCTTGTTTATGGCTTAGTGGTCTTCGCTATTGTAGTCAACGGTTCATATAGCCTTCTGAAGTCCATATACTGTTGCGATTTATTTATTAATGGTTATCAAGATGATTGGTATACGAACGCTCAAGAATTATTTCGAAGATAATCCACAATAGTATGACCATAGCATTTAAGATTGTTTTATGTGGATATACATCATCATTGGTAACAAAATATGTATTTATTCAATCAGATCGAAACGACGTAGATATGATTGTGTTTTATTTACAAATATCATCCTGAAAGCTGAATGAAGGAAATTAAAATGTTGGAAGTTCAAACTCACAAATACACAGATGGACGAGGACTTGAAGTAAAATCAATAGAAATACATGATAAGCATGAGGTATATGAAAGATGTAATAGATCACTGTAAGCATCAGTATCGGGAAAAAAGATCATTTTAATACTATCGGTAAATTCACTTGAGCTTTGTTTAGGATATATAGTTTGTTAGTCAATGTCGATAGTGAATTAGTTTTTCTTAGTGGGCCACTAATGTGTTTAAATCGCTAATGGAAGATGCTGTAAGAACTAACAATTTTAACTTTGGGATCAAGGAATTAAATGGAAGTCGGTTGTATTATGGTTGAAAAGTAATTAAAAATTGCATGTTTATTACTTATCGTATTCAGTTCGTTATAGAGGTTTCTTTCTATTTTCTTTTCAGATCTGATCGTCACAAATGATTTCTAGAAAGTGTGTGCTGTCATAGTTTTATTCTTCCTTTGTGAAAGAAACTGCTTGATGAACCTCGTTAAACGTTTCGGAAATATTTTGCCGTTTACCCTTATTTTTATAACTATAAAGGTGTTGTAAGCAGAAATGGATGGTGGCTAGCACTGGAATCCAGGACTGATCAATTGCAGTCCTAAACATCAATGGGAATATTCAAACAACCAATACAAAATGTTTCTGCAGCAAGGTTAAATGATGAATTAATCTACTAAACATCTTAAAAATCCATTTTTTGATTTCACCAAAATGTAGTCCTCTTTTTGATACTGGCGGTTACTTCATAGTTATGTTACACTATCCGAAGGCCTTCCTGTAGAATAAAAAGTGTATATATTCATTGTATATCTTAAAATGGGTCTTATAAAGAAGAAGTGGGAAAATCACTTCCATTCAACTTACTTCACACAATATCACTAGATTCCGTTAAGATTGTATTGTAGGAGGTCAGTTATAGGTGTAAATATTTCGGAAAAGTATTTTACTCATCGTCTACCTGCCTTTGATCAGTTAATGTAGTACAAACTTCATGATTTAAAAATCGACCGGTCAACAGAAGGGATTCGTTAAACTATTTATTACTACCCATATTTCACTTATTAATTAATAATAACTTATAAATGTTTGTTGACAAACTTTACGGTATGTTAATTCCTAACGTAAATTCCAAGTACCTTCAATGAACCCATTAACTTACACAGGTGTTGGGTATCTGTATCTGTTTACAAACGATTTGTGAATAAAGAAAAGGAATAATATTGTTGTACTCATACATTTAATATTAAAATTAATGTTTCGGTTTGTATTGTTTGTTGGAATCTTCCCATTGATGTTTAGGGCTGCAATTGATCAATATCTTATTGGCATATGTACATCCTGTGTGGATTGCCTGAACTCTGGGATTTTGGGGCAACCAGTTGATGAGTCCCAAATAAAACGAAATACGCGTCCTGGATTCCACCAATAGCCACCATCCATCTTTGTTTATAAAGCTTGTGATTTAAGGCAATGTCGAGGCTATCCACTCAGGATGTACATATATCAATAAGAGATTGATCAATCACAGTCGTAAACACCAATCGGAAGATTCAAACAAATAATACAAAATGAATTTAAACTTCACCCCTTTACACAAGCAAGTGGCTGTCACAACACAGTAGCTAAGTGGATAACGCGATGGTGCTTGAAACGAATGGTACTGTGTTAGAGTCCCGGAGTGAACATCAACTCTGTGATGCAGGTGTATCCAGCTGACGAGTCCTAAATAGGACGAAACGCGAATCCTGGATTTGACTGCCAGCTACCATCCGTCTTTGAGATAGAATGTGTTCATAATTTCATCCTCTTACAGAACCTCAACAGACCGCTAATGCGTGATCGTATTGAAAATCACATAATTCTTGAATAATGTTCACCGTACCCGAAACAATGTAACATATCGTTTGTGTAGATATTCTCGAGTAGAATCGATTTCCTGACATAGTTACATATTTTCGTTTGTGAATTAGTTCCGATTATTAATTAAATTGTCACTCACATGATAATAAATTGACACTTTTAGATCGTTTTAATCAGAAAGATTGTTTTTGCAGTATTCAGTAACTTAAAGGTCAAACATATGCTTCAAAATAAACTTTGATTGACTGTATTTCTCCCCAGTATTTTCACATTCAAAATAAATTAACTTGATAGTCGAACTTAGTAAGGTCGTAGACACGCGTTGTATCGATAGACAATTCCTTAATAATTGGAGGATTACTAAATATCGATAAAACGAGTTAGGTTTCGACTATCTTTACAAGTGGTCAGTGATGAAATTATAGATTTTAAGTGTCCATTGTAAGCTCAAAATTCTTATAAACATTGTTTTCTTTATCATAGGAACTTATGCATTAATGTTTTTTTCTTCCAATTGGAAGGAACCATCGAATATGTTCCTAGTCTCTTCTACAAATATTTGTGGTGTTATTAGAACTGTGTTTCAGCTGATGATGACGGCCTGCTTGAACTTTTGGGCTACCTGTTCCTGTCATCTAGATATTTCAACAAGTTGTTTTTGTTTGTTTTAACACACCATTATGTTTGTTATTCAGGTAATCTGTTCAGGTGCCTTTATGAAAAGTTTACAACTTTTCACTGTACAAGTTACAGAAAAACACAATCAGAGACATCGCGGTTGCTGGCAATATGCAACAAAAAGAATTTACATTATTTAGATGTCGATTCGGTGAGGCGGCGAGACTCTAATTTATGAACGAGCCAATCAGAAGCGTTTGAAGGATTTCAAGGTTACGGCGCCAACTTCAGTGCCTAATGCTAACGTACGATGGGTTCACAAGGAATTTTGTACACAACGTGATAACTGAGCGGCTATAACAAATAAAACAGCAAGACTATAATTTGTGAACGAATCAATCAGGTATAAGATAACAGATCTCGGATTTTGGTGCGAACGTCTTTCATCCATTTGGCTAAATAGAGTTTCGGCATTATAGCTGATGTCAGTTCGTGATGAAAACCCCATATATTATTCCTAACTAAGGCAAATTATGAAAATTATTACGAACTGGGTAATAAAAGCACCAGTGACACTGGCTGCAGCCAGATACTACAATATATACGGATGTTTGGAAAGCGTACAGACTCCTATATAGACTTGGTTATGTGCGTCGTGTCGTTATCCACAAGTAGCATTTTGCGGACCCAACAACCCAAATGTGCACAAACAGTAATGAAGCTATGTTGTTAAGGCTGAATGAGTTCTTGCAACCCTATCATGCCTCCAGAGGCCGACTATTATGTAGCCATATGGATGATTTCCTATACTCCATGCATTACGATTTTAGAACCTATGAACCTCTTTCTAACCATGAAAGTTTTTGAATCATGTAAAAGAAGTGCATCCACTTTGTTTCTTTGGTTTTGTATGATATATTCTTACTCAATATAAACTGTATTCTCATTGGCTAATATTCTCAAGGTCACTTAAAATTCGTTCGAAGGTCATTCGAAAAATAGAATCTCTTCGGTGAGGTTATAACTTATGGACGACCTTCTGCCGCCAGATTGATGATACATATTGCTTATATCCGTCAACGTCGGTACCAAATCTTTACAATACTTTTGAGGCATGACAAACTTCATTTCGTTAATACTAACTTATCATTTAACACTGTGTTTAGTATTATTGTTCTAAGTAATACATTAAGACAACTGAAAGTGAACGGAACTATACAATTGACTAAATCTATAAGGTGTTTATATAACCATGAAAATTTGTATTATTAAAACTAATATAAATAATTATTTACTAATAAGAAAGTTATCAACTTACAGAACCTCTGAATTAGTTTTTGTTATAAAAGAAGGAAAGTATTAGTATTGAATAATTTATAATAATCGGTAAATATATCTTTCATGAAAAAGGAGGAAGGGATAGATTTCTGCTTGAAATGAGAATGAACGATATTGTGTAGTACAACAATGAGAGCTTTGTAATTAAAACATGTAGCTCAGAGTACGTAACACTACCCAAACCACTCATGTGAACCAAAAATCTTCATCAGTTTGTGGTTGTGAAGGTTGTTGAATTTCATTGAAATCAAGAACTGCTTTAAATTAGATAACCATTGAAAATCTAGAGGAACTGGACGGCCATTTTGTAGTAAAATGGAACTACTCAACAGTGCTCATATACTATCCTATATTCAGGAATTGAACCCAGGATCTACTGTGTCTCTCATGAAAATCTAAATTCTAGACACCTAAACCAGTATTCACGGCTGTACAAGTCTAACTTCAATCAGTCCACGATATTGTTTAACCATCTTCTATTGTCTCCATTGAGTAACTTCTTAACACCTGATACAGTTTATAAACTTATTTTATGATATTTGTTTATTTATGGAGGAATGTTAATGTATGAGAAAGATTTTGAGAACTATCATCCTTATTCTCTAGGTTATATTCCGAAATGATGAATGTGACAGTATCAAAATATTTTAATTGTATAGATCAGACTATAATATTGGCTTTCTGTTGATCATATGAAGTAAATCAGATTATAAACTAGAGCGATTTCGGTAATTAGTTTTGACCTAGATATTGAATGAAGTTTGAAACACAATAATGTATTTCTATGACTTTGAAGACATTTTGTAGATTGAGGATCATTACCAAAATGATCATGGCGTACAACATATTTAAGCTCTAATTAAATCTTGGTAAGATACGTTTCAAGTGAAGTAACCATCCATTATGTAATAGATTAATTCCATATTGTTTCATTTTTAACATGGACTACATCATATCATTCCGATTTTAATTATGTGTAATAATCTGAATAAATTTTATGTTTGATGATTACAATCGGAATCATTGAGGTAACTGTATACTTTGATTATAGAATATATATAGCAACTTACGTGCAATTGAGTTTGTTCTCATTTAACTCAGTTAAGCCCTTTTGTTAACTTATTTAGAGGACAGTCATCCGTACTATAACAACTTATTGTACCTTTATTATTGTTGTGCTTGTATGAAATATGTATTCTTGAACATTGCTTACCGCCTACGCATATATTCATTCTGCTAGCTTTATTATTAGCTGCTTTTAATTGATTCGATGATCCATCCATTTCTTTATACATATATACATGTACATTTAAACCCACACACTCCTCTACATTCTTGGTTCTCTGACTCACTCATTCGCCTCACTGCTTTGTGGTCTGAGTTATCTGCTAATAAAACTGTAGTCGCTGGTTCTCTTTGCCTTTTGATTTCAAACACCGTTGAGGATTATATGATAACGGTTACGAGTGTGAGTGGTCAACGAAGCACAGCCACTACACAGATAGTAAGCAATCAAGAATGAGTTTATGAATTCGTTCAATGTGATCATCGTTGAGTGATTTGAATTTAACCATTTTATTTATTAGCTATTTCAATTGAGTATTCGAATGCAATCTGTCAGTTTATGTTACGTAATATTTTTGGTACTAAATTTCTTCCGTATGGTATTTGATTATTTGAAAGTCATTACTAATCACTAGGATGAATGTTTGCGCATAAAAAGAAGGTGGTATTTTTGACATTGACACATTTCATGAAGCAACGAGATGTTAAGTTTCAATGGATGAAAGCTAGAAATTATATATTATTTTTCTAGACCTGCTTATTCTTAGTTCAAATGCATATCCGATCATCATTGCCAAATTCCTTGAAATCAAGACTTACTGTCTTTTGACTATCATCATACAGACACTAGAAAAATCACACTGTAATAGTTCCATTCTTCACTTTAATAGATGATTAGCATCAAAAATTTAAGTTTTACGAAACTAGTCACTATGACAACAGGTTTTGATTAATATATTATCGGTGCATTTAATTAAAAAAAGGTAATCAAATACTTCCCTTAAAAACAAGAGATCATATTTATATATATGCTGAATACTATCTGATTAACTCACTTTCAGTAGTCTGTTTTCCTGATAATACACCGAAGAGGGATATACTTAAGAATAAAATTATCAGGCAATTCATTTTTTCAAATTTCTTTAAAATGAATGAAATCTGGTGTATATATGTATACCATAGGTAAGCAATATTCTTTTTGTGTTTACTTTAAAAATGCATTGATTGAAACTGAATACCTCCTCCTTTATTGTTAATCAGTGTAATTTTAGAGTAAGATTACATAAGCTAAGTAAACGTGTTAATATGTAAAGAAAGAAATGGATCCATAAAAAAATCATTCTTTTGACAATTAGAGACAACCCTATTACTGGTGCTGAAGTTGGCTGATTATTAAACTATCTTATTGGTAATAACTTCAAACTTGACCTTCTGTTCAACATTATTTAGATCAATAAAATTATGTTTTAGCCTGTTTTATAGTGTGGTATGAGCTACTTATATTCACATAAGTAGTATACAACGATGGTCAGGCATAGAATGTATTTCAGTAGAAGATCGAGAAGCTAAGAAAGGAAATGGAAAGCAATTGGTATGAAAATGTATGAACAATAAAATCTGAGACGATGGACTGATATATACAAATGAAACAGTCAAGTTTAAGACAATCCATTAGTATTTTGCAAATTAATTATTTACTGTATGGATCACAGATTTTAGTGAGATGTTCTGTAATTTCGTGGTTAAGTGCATTCGGTTGTCCACGTCCGCGTTTGTTCATTGCAAAAGTGCTTAGTTTCATATTACTTTAAGAAATCTTTACTTCAGTTGTCGAAGTGTCATCCAAAAAGACAGAAGAAATGGACGTTATATGTAATTTTGATGACTGATGAGGTTTGGATTGATATCATGAATGGATCAATGTTAGACCATTATTGAAAACCTAGAAGCATTGGATGGCCTTTTCGTCCTATTATGGAACTCCTTATTAGTTCGGATCTACGATTCCGCACACGGGACTCAGACCCCGGACCCCCGGTCTCACGTGCGAGCACCCAATCTTTACATCATCGAACCGGCATCCAACGATGTTAATATCTAATTTCGACTAATCCACAAAGTTGTGCGACTATCTTCCAATGTCTTCGGTGAGTAACTGCCTCACACCCGGCACGGATTAGCTCCACTGGTCACGGATTATCACTAGAAGTACAAGAATTACCTCCCGAGGCCATTCACCAGTGATCACATAATAATTATCCGTATGAGATTGTGGAGATTATTGCATTTTGACTGAGATCATCAATGGATCAATGTTTTCAATGATCAGCTAGCACTGATCGATTCATGATCTCAATCAAATACTCAATAATCTCCACGATCACATAGTGATAAATACCTAATTTTATTGATCACAACTGGAATTTACAGTAGCATAATTACCAGCTCACGTATAAAATTCGAATAAGGTTGATATTTAAAGAAACTGATCGGTTGTACCTTTTATCATGTCTAAATAACTGATGTATATCAATAAATCCTGATAAACGCCTTCCTAAAGCCTGTTAATAATGCTGTTGGTTAGACGTAATTCTTTGTGAATTAGTGCCACATGTACCTGAAGACAAGCATTAATGCTTAATCTTCATAAACATCCCATTAAATTACCAAAATGCTGAACAGATGTTCAGATAATTCTGTGCTTCCCTAGTTTCAGTGACTTTCATTCACATTAATCACTTTACGAAACTGCCAATTAGTATCAACTGAAGTGTTTAGGAATGTGATAACATTTAACTAGCTAAACAGTTGTCTACGTAAGATAATGAATGTCCGTTGGCCGGATACTAATCAGTAACCGCCCACTGTGAGAGAGAACAAACCGACTTCCATCTAAACAAGAAATTAGGAAAAGACGTAGGAAGTGGATAGGACATGCTTCGTAGAAATCATCATACTGCATCACGAGGCAAGTGCTAACTTGGAATCGTGATGGGAAACAAAAATAATGAAGGCCAAAGAACACACTGCGTCGGGAATTGGAAGCAGACATCAAAAGGATGAATAGCAACTGGAAATGATTGCCCAGGACAGAATTGGATAGAGAGTGCTGGTGGTAGACCTATTCACCTCCGCGAGAGGTAATAGGTGTAGGTAAATAAGTGTAAATAAATCATATAAAAATTAGTGTATTCAATTATGTATTAGAACAGCATAAATAAGCGAACGATACTGTTTTGAATTAGATCGTTATCAGGCTTCACTTCAATATAAAGAAACATTAATACGCATATACAAAATTATTAAACCAATTAAGGCAGTTCATAAGTCAGTGATACCAGTGGAATAGATTACATAGATAAACAATAACAAGTAAAAAGCACAAATTGATAGCGTGATGATAGGTGTACTCTCTGAACGTTTATTATAACGTAATCTTATAGTCATTATGACTGCTATTTCAGGTCACTGACGTATTTCCTGTTATGAAACATTGATTCTTATCACAACTAGTACACCTATCATCACATTATCAATTTGTGCTTTTTACTTGTTATTGTTTATCTATGTAATCTATTCCACTGTTATCACTGACTTACAAACTTCCTTAATCGGTTTAATATTTTCGTATATGTGTATTAATATCACAGTACATTAAAGTAAAGCCTGATGAGGATCTAACTGAAAATAATTTTGTTCGCTCTTGTATTCAGCTGTCGCATTTATTTATGTCTGGTATCAAATATATCCTTGTCTATATCACCTTTATGTTCATATTTACGTCCTATAATGCATAGTTTCCTGTTGAATTATCAAGCTATTCAACAGATACGTTATTAATCTTTGTTTAATAAGTGATAAACTGTTTTTTTGTTCATTTTCTTGTTTTTCATTTATCGACTAACTAAATTGTGTAATGCCTTCTAGAATCCTCTAAATAAACTTTCCTTTATGGACTATCAATTAACAATCTAATATACAAGTTGTTTACGAAATTGATAGGACGAAAAGCGAATGTCCGGCGCTTTAACCACGTTAGTGAACATAGAGTTCAGCTAGAGGAGTTGGAAAACCCTGATTCCAAACCGATGGTGCACATAAACTTAAGTATTCTGAAGGAACAAATAGCGTATGAACCAATCGTTGGTCACTGTCTGCCATGAGACTGCATCTCCTGACGTTGCTCCACTGCCTTGTGGATAAGACCTTTAGGTCAAAGGCTCCGGGTGTGACCCCCAACAAAACTGCCTGTTCCGGTTCGGGCACCCACATAGTATCCCAGCCTTCACACAAATCGAATGATTTATGTAGAGCATATATATTTTATGCCTCCTTGTACCAATGTTTATATGTTTAAATAAACAAATGTAAATAAATATTACTGTGTTTACAATCGTGAATATACATAGTAAATTAAAACGAATCCGACACTGGAATACTTCGTCAGAACTAACTGATTTCAAATGGTTTTATTGACTTCTAGGAACATTCTAACTAATTTCAAATATGAATTCACATTCAGTATCATGAAACTTATAGCGACCGTCACAAATTAGTATTGATGAGTCAACAAAAAAGGTAACTTGACTAACTTAGCTCATTTAATTATAATTTCACCAGTCATTAGTTAGCATTACCAGTATGTTTACAAGTAATCAGAAGTAAGTGTGCGATAATAAGATAGTTTGAATACAGAAATCTATTGGCCGATTACAAAAAAATCACTATCGTCAATTGTCATCAGTTTGTATTATCGTTGTAATACATGAAAGTCCTATTTCACATGTTTGTTTAGTCGGATACCTCTGAAGGATATCATAAAAAAACAAAATACTTCGTTACAATTGCAGTGAAAGTGAACATAGGTGAAGACAAACGATTATATTTAGCATAAAATAGAAAAAACCATACTCCAATACTTCATTTCGAAAATGTTCATTTATTGTCTCAGACTTCATTGTTTCTTCATTTTTATACCAATTACTTTTTGTTCCCGTCCTTCCCTTTTCGATCTTCTCAACCTTCTGCTGCCAAGAGTTGTATTCCTAATTGGTGTTATAAGCTACTTATGTCGACATAAGTAGCACATACGACACAATCAAATCTTTAATAGTAGTCTATCTAAACTCACTTTGTGATGGAGTTTTGTACTCTGTGCTGGATGGTTTAGTCGTGGAGTTTTTATCGTTCTGCTGAACGACATCATTAGCACAAACTTCGGGTGGATAAACTGTATACTATAATAAATTCAATCAACGATTAATTTTTTTAGATAATTTAAAGTTCTGATTTTGTATTATATTTCAGCTGTCTGGTGAAATAATTCTTCCGAAGGAAATATTTCATCATTTGTACCAAAACAATCACTCTTTTCCCATTCAAATCATTTATTGGGATATTAAACAAAGCGTTTTACAAGATGCTCATTGTTTCTCTGTAACAATCGTAAGGAAACAGATATAATGGTTTGATTCTATATACATACACTGCCGCGATCGTTGAAAAACAAACGCTATCTACGCCATCTGTTCTTCTGCTTTATTGGCCATGGCTTGTTGATTGAGGATTGTAGTAGTGTTACAACATCCTTTTAAGTCTTCCTACACTACGTTGGTGTTTTGACCTGGATTATTATTAATAATACTTTCGGATTTAATCGTTATCGTTACGCCACCGGTGTGACACGTGTAGAGGAACATCTGTTTATCAAGTGAATTTATTTGTGGTTTTTATCTTGGAGAACAGCTTACAGGTAACATTCATTGTCCCTCCTAACAACATTATCAATGAGAACTGATTGTTTGGATTTTACAACTACTGATGAACAGCTTTTCCTATCGACCTGGATTTAATTCATTATTGTTCATAACTGTGTGGTGGTTATCTGCATTTTCGTTTGTTTTCTAACCTGACCTGATTTTTGACCTTATAATTGTTATTCATTAATGTTACTGGCTGATAGATTTGATGACTGTGTGTGGTATTTGTACTAATCTATAATGCGTCAGTAGTTGATTTCCCGCTCATTACGAATTTCAAAATTCCAAAATTCTAGGCCTATATGTATTAAATATGAGATAATGCATGAAACTGTAGCGTGGTGTCGAATCGAAATTGACTGTGAACACCGCTACAGAGAAACACGCGCCAAATAAACCCAAAAAATCCCCGGGAAGCCAAATATCAGAA